TGCCCTGCAGATCCCCGTTTAGCTCTGTGAGTCCACAGCCACTCAGGGAATCTATGGGAACTTAAAAATACTCATATCAGCAGCCGTGCACTGCACGCAGAGGACAATGCAAACCCACTCTGTTCGACCCCCTCCAACCTTTTATTTCCGCTGGACGTTTACTTACTCCAGTTAATGGCTTTCCCAGACCGCAGCCTTGTTTGTCTTTCTTTAATTTGTTCTCTCCTCTGCTTTTCATGTTTGTCGTCCTTGTCTTTAACACTGGTCCTTCTTAATGGGAAAACCTCAGCAGACAGAGGAAAAGGAGGAGTAAGGGAGGGGGCAGATGAGTTGTTGATATAGTGTCCGTTGTGCTGGGTTGATGTTGTGATAAAGTCTGGTTATAGTCTTCGGAGAGATGAAATGACAGTGTCAAACAGTGTTGTGTTTGGAGCAGGACCCCCCAGTAAGCTGTTCACTCCAAGCATCACGTAGACGCTGCGGAAAATGTCAGCTGACAGAAAGCAGCGTCTACTCTGCTAATCAATCCAACAATTCAAACATTCAGCAACACGAGTGTGTAAGTGTCAACCACTACAACCAGTGACCGGGTCTGGAGCATGCTGGGTTCTGACTTCACTCTGTGGCCCATTCATGACGAGTCAAAAGTTTCTTTGTAACCTGCTAGCTTAGGGGCGACTGGGCAGACTTAAGGGCTCCTCCTGAGAGCATTTTACAGGCAAACATTGTCAAAAGTTCAAGGTGCTGCAGCGTAGACACCCTCATTTCATCCATCATTTAAAAAGAACTTCAAGCTTCAGAAAATAGTAAATGGACTGTACTTATATATATCGCCTTTCTATCTTATCAAGATACTCAAAGTGCTTTACTCTACACTCTGTGCCCTCATTTACTCATTCATACAGCACTCTACTGTATCTGTACAAAGAATAATCAGCGCTTGATCACATTCATACACTGATGGGACACACATCGGAGGGATGCTTCAGTATGTGACTGCTGGTGGAATCGAACCCTCAACTCTCCCATTGGAGGACAACTGCTCTAGCCACTCAGCCACAGGTGCCCCCTGTAAAATTAACAAAAAGCTGAAATAAAAATCATATAAAAAGTTTCTAAACAAACACGCTGAGCTATTTTATTTCAGTGTATGACGTGGAAACACATCCCTGATTGATGATGGTGTAAATGGTTTTAAAATAGCTTTCTTGTGAACTGTTGCAAAATTATGGAAACAAGTTGTTTCAAGGCAGCAGAAATCCACTTCAGTCATGACCTCACTCAGGTTCAGGTTAGGTTTATTTGTCATATGCAAAATCAACACAAGGTCAACAATGCAACGAAATGCTGAGGACGAGAAGAACCGTCTTGACTCACCAAAAAACAACAAGAAATACCAAAGCATGCTGCAAAAATACTAAAAATACTACTAAAATACTAAAAACATACTAAAAATACTACTTAAATACTAAAAACATACTAAAAATACTACTAAAATACTAAAAACATACTAAAAAAAATACTACTAAAATACTAAAAACATACTAAAAATACTACTAAAATACTAAAAACATACTAAAAATACTACTAAAATACTAAAAACATACTAAAATACTACTTAAATACTAAAAACATACTAAAAATACTACTTAAATACTAAAAACATACTAAAAATACTACTTAAATACTAAAAACATACTAAAAATACTACTAAAATACTAAAAAATACTACTTAAATACTAAAAACATACTAAAAATACTACTAAAATACTAAAAACATACTAAAAATACTACTAAAATACTAAAAACAAGACAGCAAAGTTGAAAAAGAAATACATCTACAGTGTGGTTTGGTTAATAGTGAGATTCTTTCAACATCATGGTTCTGTTCTGTTAGTGGTGTAGTCTTGTTAGCAGGTCCGATCCGCAGCTTGATGGTAATAACAACCGTAGCAGCTCCCCTCACAGACCGCAGTCCAGAACCGAGTCCAGTAAAGAGAGAACATCCCAGGTTTCCCCGCGAAACTGAGCGGGTCGGAACTGTCGAAACCGAACTGAACCAAACTCAGTGGCTATTGATTTGTGATTCCGGCAAGAATTCAACTCAATTTCTCCAAACCGAGGCCTTTAAAAAAAGCCATCTACAACAGGTAAGATACTAATTATATATGATCTTTCCAAAGGACCTCACTTCCAAGGAACTGAATCTGTGCTTTAATGACTTACTGGGAACCTGTGGAGTATTAAAATGCCACACATTTCCAGTATGCACTTTATTTTTTCTTTACATAATAAGAGGAGTATTTGTAGAGAAGATAACAGAGTTCCTAATAAACTTCAAAATAAAATGTTTTAACAAATACAAATGAATCTACCGAGTCTCTACAGTTAAATATTATCATTAAAAACAAGTATGATTATTACCATGTTTTCAGTAAATATAAATCCTGAGTTGTGCATATTTTAATAATCTTTTTAATATGAAGCTTGTATGTAAATGTGTAAATGGACTTGCTCCTCTAAACCACAGGCCTGCAGCTGCTTCATCAGGTAATGTTAAAGTCAAATTCTAACACATTGATGCTCAGGCTTTTCTGTGAAAGGAGCAAAGATTTGCAACACATTTCCTGTTGATTTAAAATTTACACTGAACTTTGATGTTTTTAAGAAAACAACTAACTCAGGATTCAAGTCTAGTTTTTAATAATTTAACTTGAAATATTGTTTTTAATATGTGCATTTTTTTTTATTGTTTCGACCTAATTTTGTTTTTAAATCATTCGTTTTCATTTTTAGTTTATTCATCTTCTAAAATCTCATCTGAAAAAATAAATAAATAAATAAACATTCACTACCTGGTTTCATGAAATGTCACGTTATTCGGAGATGGAAAAGTTTAGTTTGATGATGATTAGACGCAAATCTGACACCTCCAAACGTCAGGAATGAGGATCAAACGTAAGGCCCACCTAAGTAAAAGCCGGCTCCTGTTATTGAGTTTTTCTGAAGCTTGAAGGGGGCCAGCTATTGTCGGGGCAAAATCACAAGGTCTGTCAGCCCCAGGTCATACGGCCAAAGCTGCCTTGATCTGACCAGACGAGCGAGCCAAGAAAAATACCACCCGCACAATCCTTTTCACGCCTGACTTAGGCGCAAACATTCTCACAATCCACGGTCTTCTCATTAGAAAGATCCGAGCATGTGTCCGCCCTCATTAATGCTGTTGTTGTTCAGAGATTAAGTCGATTAGACGGGGGGGCCTTCCAGCTTGAAACGACTGCTTGGATGTTAAATTATTGCTGTTTAACCAAATAGTGCTCCATCTAAACGCAGACTATTTTCACACAAGAATATAATGTGATAACCGCAACCTTTACCAGTGACTTCTGTGAGATGATTTAAAAATGACATTATGAGGCACCGTTCAGCGTTGCCTGCCTAATTTTCTGTCTCACCATAATTACCTCTCTAGTTTTAAGATTTAGGTCATATAAGGAATGCAGACCAATCTTTTAAAAGCTGAGCAGTCTGCAGCCAAACGACTCGTGACTCCTTTGTTAGCCATTTGTCCCTTGTAGCATATTAAAACTTTTAAACACTACCAGCAAACACAATGTTGAGTTCATATAAGGTTGAGGCTCCAGCATGAGTTAAAATGTTTCAACACATGGCTGGAACACTGTGCACCTGAGCTCAACTATTGCTGCTTCAAAACTGTTGCTGATGAAAGCAGTGGGTATAAGTTTGGGAATAAATATTCTCCATTACTGTATGTTTAGAGTAAATGCAGGTTGTTAGATCAGTGCTGCCCTCCTCTGGCCATTTTAGAAATAACAATCTCCAGAAAACAACTATAATTCGTCTTTAATACCATTATTTTTAATTTTTTTTTTATTCACACTCGCCCTCGAGCAAGACGGATGCCTTTTCTTCCCTCTCCTTGTCCTGTGTATCGGAGCTTCTACTTACAGATCTTCTGGATCATCAAATTATTCCTGGAAATGTGTAAACCAAGACAGCTCTGCTCTATCACCCCCTACCCCAATAACTTCGGTGAACGCTTATCAGAGTTGTACCAGCTGAAACTTTAACACCTCATCAGGACTATGGAACTATCTGGAAGTGTTTAATGTACAAAATAGCACCATCTTGTTGTCAAGTGCACGTGTCTATAAATGTGCTTACTGGTACATTTGCTTAAACCGTGTCATGACATGGACAAGGTGTGAATGTAAAGCAATCGTTTTTTTAATACCCACTGTCCTCATGGTCTTTCCCGTTCTTATCTAAAGAATAAGGATCTGCAGCCACGTGCACTGCGCCCATCTTCGGACGACTGTACAGAATATAATCTCGCTGCACTTCACTGTGCAATGACAATAAAGCTTATTCTGATTCTGAAGCAGCAACTGACATCATGTTTCAGGATGCTGTGGTGAAATGAGTCTACCTGGTTTTAAAGTGTGTGGGGGTGGCTGGGATGATTTTCAGCCTCTTTTCATTATCACAAAGTTTGTTTTCTCAGTCATCCAGGTATATAACAACAAAAAAGGTTGAATCATGTCATCTGGACTTCGTTTTTTTGTTAAAAAGAAACGTTTCGCCCCTCATCCAAGAGGCTTCGTCGGTCTGTTAGGTAACCATTAGTGAAAAGGCCAGACTTCAGGGGTATCTGAGGCAGGCTTGGAACACAAGAGTCAGGGTGGCTTCTGGGTAATACCAGATGGCTAGGCCTCAGACCGACGAAGCCTCTTGGATGAGGGGCGAAACGTTTCTTTTTAACAAAAAAACGAAGTCCAGATGACATGATTCAACCTTTTTTGTTGTTCTTTTCATTATGCTGCTCAAACTCTCATGTCTCCCTGTCTACAGTCCACACATGCTCAGCTGACCTAAAGTAAACAAAACCAAAAAGGAAAAACAAAGATTAGCAAAGAGTAACCACAAAAAACTCTCATACAAGTTCTGTTTTTTTAATTGTTTTTTTTTTTTTTCCCACAAACAGAATTGGTTTACAAAAAGGAACATTGAAATTACAACGGTACCTATCTATTGCAAGTCATGCTGTCAACTACATGCCAAATCAACAATACGAAAAACACTGAAAATCTTCATTGTTAAAAAAAAAAAGAACAAATGGAAAAGTTGAGGCCAAATATTGCAAAACAGAAAATATTTAAAAATGGGTTTCTGGAGTCCTGGGTTTGTTCACGAGACGTAAACCAGGGCACAAGATCTGAAAGCTCCCAGGCAGAGGGGAAGTTTTCTGCTCTACAGACAGGGTGACTAGAAGAACGGAAGCGTTAAGACAAGTTTAATTGTTTAAATCACAAGCGCGCACACGCACATATACACACACACACACACACATTTGAATACAGCTAGCCTATTCATTGGAATCCATTTGAAGCCCTTACAATACAAAATCATGCTTCAATAAGAATTTAGGAAACATCACAACAAAGAAAAGTACATGAAACTTATTCATCAAACCTTATCTGAGGTATATGGCTTTATTTTTTTCCAACAACTACTTGATAAACAACGAAGAAGGTATGATACATTTGTTGCAAGAAGAAAACAAAGGTATTTCCAACCAAAGATATGAACAAACACACTTTTTCCCCATTTTTTTCCTCCACCTCCAAAATAAGGAGCAGAAATTAAGGTGCCTTGAATACAGCATTGCTTTCCTATCATTCTTAGATCTTTGAAGACGGAGCGTGTCATGAAGCGAAGAATAAATTTAGGGCTTCTGTGTTTCTGTCCACACCATTTCTGGATCAGCTACACCTTTTTAATAGGAAGTTCATCACGGAGCATTCGTGCACATTTCATATGGTTACAAAGATCTGGGCTGACTGTTGGGGGGGCCACAGAGGGACTTAAAAAAAATACTTGTAGTTAAATGTGGCTAAATTTATGCCACATGTGGAAGTGTGTTTTATTCTAAGATGTAACAAAAATATAAAAAGTAAACTAGATGGAAGAGTGGATGCAGTTTCATTTTAGATTGAGCAAGAGTCTAATGGAGTCCCTTTGGTTTCTTTATTCAATGTACTACAATTATTACAAAATATGAGTGTTGCAGGATTTCAGGTCCCTCATTTTAACGAGCGGCGCTCAGATATCAAGCATCCCTTGTTGACGGCATCTGTTGGCATCACGTTGGCTGGTGTACGTGTTGTATGTGTGCCGGCTCCTGGTCGGGCTCAGTCGGTGCTGACCTGAGTGACCTGTGCATCAGTAGTCTGGTTGGTGGATTGGATAAACATTGGTTGGGTCAGTTCCTGTCCCGCTGGCATCGTCACCTGTTGTATCTGATACAACTGCTGCAGAACAGAGACAGAGAGGCATTATGTTGACAGGATTACCTTTAAACCACCAACTCAGATCCAGTTACTTACTTTAATACTAACTTATTGCACTTTTTCCCCCTAGGCTGAGATCATTGTCTAGATTTATTCAATTCTGGCTTTAATTATTAATTTTTATGGGCAGTTTTTCAAAAGGTAAAATGAAGAAAAAAACCATCAAAGCAAAATTGTGAATATTGTGAGAGGTGATTTTACATTCACGGTTAGAGTTCTTGATTGTAATTGTTACCTGTCCATCTGTAAACTGGTTGAACTGCTGCTGTCCTTGCTGCACCTCGGTCTGTGTGATCTGAAAACATTACAATCTCTTACTCAAACGTTTTTAGCTTCACTATCACGTGTATGTCGTCTTCATGACAACGTGCAGATTTCTTTGCGCCCACATTTAGTGATTACCTGCTGAGCGTTTGCAAGAGTCTGAATCTGTCCCTGGACCACTTGAGCTCCAGAGACCGGCTGAGCTAGTCGGATGTATTGTAGCTGGCCTGTGTTCAGCTGCACCTACAGTGAACAGACACAAGAGGGAGACAGAGTTTAGTTTAGAGTAAAGGTCATTCAGACAGAGGACACTGCCATTTTCCCACCCTGGACAACAGACCTTCACTTCCTGTTCGTGAACGGTATAAATATGTTTCGTTCATTCGACTAAAATGGATAAAATACTTACACCATCAAACATAGATCACATCAATGACCTTTTATTTTACTTTGCCTCGACTACTCAAGAATTTCCTGCGGGATCAATAAAGTTTTATCAAAAAGATCAATAAAGTGGGACCCTGTGTACACAATTTCGTTCCACCTAGTGCACCACATGTGACGTGAATGACAATAAAGAACCTTGACCTCTAAAGTTCGATCTTATCTTATCTTGCTCTCCTGCTTTGAATATTTTTCTCTCCTAGCTTTAGCTAACACCAACGCCTGTTCTTCCCAGTCTGACCCATCGTACCGGGATCTGCTGAATCTCTCCCGTGTTGGTGATGATCTGCTGCATGACCTGCATGGTCTGGCCTTGGGCTTGTGCGGTCTGTTGACCCTGGGCTGCTGCAGCCTGGACAATCTGCACTTGCTGGCCCTCACCCACCTGCATGGCGACAGGCGCACTCTTAAAGAGAGAAGGGGAAAAACAGAAATAAAGTGGAGAAAAGAGCATCGCACAAACATTAGTGTTATCAGGACATTACTAAAGCTTCTGGAATACAAGGTTAACCTCAATACAAAGTTTACATTTTAAACTTTGAACAGAAGACTATAAAGCAGGCACAAAAGACATGACTTCATTGGTTTCATGTCCTCTATTTCTCTTCTGACTGTCATATTATCTAGGAAAGGCCATCTGATCTCATTCAGCAGTCACCCCTAGAGACCTGTCACCTGAGTAGCAGTTTGCGGGGGCGGTCACCTACAGGGCTGCAGCACCGCGTCGTGGTCTTTAAGCGCGTGGTTAGTGAGCATTAAAAAAGGCATGTGTGTTTACCGTGATGGGTGTGCCTTGTGATTGCACTTGCACTTGCTGTAACTGCTGCATGGTGGCACCTTGCAACATCTGATGGCCAACAGAATAGAATGGGAAAATGAGAGAAAGATAGACACAGTGAGAGGGCGGCGATTGCAACAACTCAACACAAACGTGTAAGCGTGACTGGCGAAGTACGCATAGGAAGCTTTAAGCATCAGAATGGAAAGCAATGGCATCAAGCAACAACAAATTGAAGGGCGTGTTTATGAAATAAATTTAAAATAAAAAGGAAAAAAAAACACCAGTAAATCAAGGGGATAATCTAAAACAAAAAGCAAAATTTTTTTATTCACAGAAGCTTAAAAGAAATGAAACAACATAATGCAACTTTCCCAGCTAATTTAATTTTGTAGTTTTGTAAAGACCTAACCTCTTCATGTGAACTTTTCTTTCTGTCAACAATATCAAACAAAATTGTTTTGTATTAAAAAATTCAAATGAATTCCTATTTTCAGGGACTTCTTTTATTCAAAACACAAGGCTAAAGTTCTCAAAGTCTGAACAGAGATATTTGCATTAAATAAATCCTCCTGAAAATAATTTACATTAGAGCCCTAATCATTTGTTGCTAACTTGGCTGTTGCTTAAAGAGGACTGTGGGTGCAGTAAAAGTAGAGAACTATTACTGACGCAGTATTTTTGTGCGTTAAGATGATGCAGGTCTTTTCTGAAACTTACATCCTCAACAGAAAGTGGCTGGTCATCTTCTCGAACTTTTGAAAAATGTCAAAGTAAACACTTTCTCGCCCCTCTAATAAAACAGAGGCTGCTGGCATGTGGATGTCTGCTGGATACATTAGCTTTAATCATTGCCACTTTTATAAACGTCTTGAAACAGGGACGGTAACGCCGTTTTCAACCTTTGCAGAAAAACGTTTTCACCGGGTGATTGTCGATATTATTGTGCATAATGTACTTGAAAGGCAAAAAAGAGTTAGCTTGTAAACCACTTAGTTTCAGTCACTGTCAGAATGATTGGCATGTCCCTTCTAAAAATAATGGAAGTTAAAAGAGGCTCAAGAACATTAAGCTACAGGTTTACAAATTTTAATGTCAGTCGTTTAACTTACAGGAATATAATCCAAACACATAAAAAGTGCTAATGAAGTTTGATATTGTCTCACCTAAGGTTTTCAGTCTCTAAAAGTACCTGCTTAGTACAAAACCCAAACATAATACGTGATTAAGTTACGGATGCTTTAATCTGTTCTTACGTGTACGCCTTGAGAAAAAACAAATATTCTAAAAACAATGGAAAATAAGGGTGAAGAGGAAAACATCTATGAGAATAAAGATAAAAGAAAATATAACCTTTACTTATAACATGAAATGAGGAAAAAGACATTCAAAATAAATGATGCAATAACAGAGATTGTGGTGAAACCTTGCAGATGCCGTTGAATTTCCAAAGTTGATAAACATTTAGGTAATCTTTCGGGGGATTTAATTAGAAGCAATTTACCGGTAGCTCACTTTTTTATGTTACCCAGTAAACAGTCAGTGATGGAATCAACATAGGGCTGGTGTCAGATTGTGCTGTAGCAGGACTATGAGTCACAAAAGGCACAAAAAGTACAACAGCTCAGCTCAAAGCAGCCTGCTGAAGCAGCGTGAAGCACCTTAGCAGCACATTTACGCGACATGCAGAAAACAAGATGGAAAAGAGCAGAAAAGGTCGTAGGGAATGAATAATTTGAAAAGAGATAACTGGATGAACTAAGAATAATCTCACTGATTGATGAAAGCATCATAAGCCTGGAAGAAAATGGCCGTGTTTCCATGACTGCGCAAGAAGAATACCACACGTTACTGTGACTTTGTTTGTTTTAGGGGTGCTGAAATGTATAGAAGTTTAGAGTATAACACAGTTGTTGGGTTTTTGCATTGCTTATCTTAAGGCAACACATTTCTCTTTTTTATTATAGAAAACTGAGCGTACCTACAGCTGTATATTGTTGGTGTGCACCTTGCTACTTTGTTTCAATTGAAAACAAATTTTACATTTGCTAACTAAATAAGACACCAGGGTGATCTGTAAATCAAGATCCAATGCTCCTTGTATGGGACTTGCACACGTCTGCTGGTATACTGTTATATGTGCTGGTTCAAGAGGGGCCAGTCCCAAAATGTGAACTAAATCCGAGAATAACAAAACTAGAAAGCATAACTCCAGTGAAGAGCTTTTTGCAGCAGATACCTCACACCAAGTCGAGATCAAAACGTTCCACTCAAAGTGCTGTTACAGGGACATGAACATGTTCTAAGACACAAAATCAATATTCAACAAAGTACCAAGAAGGTCTCATTTTGTTTGAACGATCATCACACTGTGGTTTCATTTCAGCGGTTACTTCTTTACACATTCCCACGCGTCCTCGATTTTGTGACAAATTTCTTCCAAGTACCTGTCCTTGCTGTGGCTGCGTGATGATGATCTGTCCAGGCTGGATGGTCGTGGCAGTCTGTGTGACAGGCTGCTGACCCTGCTGTGCACCTTGCACCTGTACGGCTCCAGGCTGTTGGGCCAAGGTGAAGTAGTACTGCACCGGCTCTGCAGGAGCTACTGACTGACGCATCTCCTCCTGCAGGTGGGACACACACACACACACACATACTGAAGGCCTATCAGTCCACTACATCGCCATAAATTATTGTTTAGAAGTGTAACGGCAGAGGAGAGTGGGGTTAATAAATAACTGATGGGATGTGGCTGGGGAAGAGTAACCTAATCTGGATGTCAGTCCTGGTGCAAGTATCACACTAGGTAATGACAAACTTCTAGTTTGGAAGAATGCTTGACTGAATGTAGTGTGGCAAAAAAAAAAAAAAAGATCTCTTCCAGTCGTATTAATAACAGTTTTATGCACATCTGTGTTACATGTTTATTTAAACTAATACAGATTCATGTGTGGACACAGTCCCCTAAATGTCCTTATTTTAGCTTAGCAAAAAAAAAAACCCTAAAAGCATCAGGATGAGTTTTTATTCCGCTTACTCTGCAGTGCTTAGCAGGTGAGGCAGCTTGAATCCAGGAATTAAAATGATCAATTATTAATAATCACTGACCTGTGTGATCCTGTTTTATAAGTGACTAATGAGCAAGGCTTCATCTTGATGATGTGTCTCCATCTCCAGAAGAGTAAACACCCCTCTCCCAGCTCCATGACAGCACAGCTGAGAGTGTAGGATGTTTACATGCCTGGAGACCGTCTTCTCGTCAACAAATTTAAATATCTCAATAAGTTGGTATACAGCTCATTAACTGTCTGCTTCAACATTATACAGTGTTTTTTTTCTGAACCATATCCTGGCAGGTGACAGGTTTATGACATTTGATATGACTAACATTAGTATAAACTGGTCCCATTTTTGGATGGGTTTGGTTTGAGGCAATAAGAAGCTGCAAACATCCGACTGAAAGCCCTCTGCCAAACTGCAGCTTCCAGTCAAGGATGTTTACAGCACCGTGCTGCCAAAAGGCGGACGAGGAAACTGACAAGAGCATCAAAATGATCAATTTATTATGATGAAAAACTTGTATCACTTTTCATATTTATGTCTTATGTTGGAATACTGTCACGTGTTCATTCACCTGAAAGAAAATCTGAAAGAAATTGGGAGAAATTTCATATTTTCACGTATTTATTATTTGATGGAGAAGACAAACTTCCAATTTTTGTTGTTTTCCATCCATCCATTATCTTTACCCGCTTCTTCCTTTTCGGGTTGCGGGGGTCACCAGTGCCCATGTCCAGTCATCACTGTGTGAGGAGCAGGGGACACCCTGGACAAATCTCCAGTCCATCACAAGGACACGGAGACAAACGAGACAAACAACCATTCACTCTCTCGCTCACACCTAGAGACAATTTAGAGTTACCAATCAGTCTAACATGCATGTTTTTGGTCTGTATGAGGAAACCGGAGTACCTGGAGAAAACCCACACATGCACGGACAGAACATGCCAATTCCACCCAGAATAGCCCTTGGCTGGGATTCAATCCTGTGATATTCTCGCTGAGAGGTGGCAGCTCCACCAACTGAACCACTGTGCTGCCGGTTTTTTTGTTTTAATAAAGAATTGTTTTTTCTTTGCAGTTTTTTCTGCTGTAGTCAATGGAACGTCTGACATATGCCATTTTTATTTAGAAAATTAATAAGCGATTCACATAAAACATCCTATAATTTTGAAACGTCTATTACTTTTTATTATGACTATGATGAATTTAAGTTATTTATAGCTTTATATTTTGATACCAATATAAAAAGGAGCAAAGAAAGACAGACTTTAAGCAATTATTGACTGTAATTTATTACTTACTATAATTCTTTTTTAACCGTTAAAAATGCTTTCAGAGAAACCATAATTTTTCTAGTTGCTGTTATTTATAAATTTATGTTTTGACAACAAAAAAAAGGAGCAAAAAAAAGAGACTGTTAAGAACCATTAACTATAATTAAATTTTTAAAAGAACATTTTCCAAAAAATAAAAAAGTCTTCTGAGAAATTATTTATTTTCCAGTTGTTTGGTTATTATGGCTACAAAATATTAAAGCTACATCCTCTTCCTACCTGTCGTTTGGGGGGCTTTAAGTCGTCCCGAGGCACGATGTCGATCAGAAAGTCAAACTGGTCGAACTTTGTTATCGCCATGGCGATGTCATTCCTCTGTAAAAACAAACAAATACAGACACATAGAAGGTCAGAGGATAATTGTGCTAATTCTATACATGCAGATACCCATATATAAACATGCTTTGAAGTTTGAGGTCATCGCTCCTAAAATAACCGCACCAAAGTCTACAGTGAATCTGAAGAGCAGTGTCTAGCAGCAGTCACACAGTTGATTGCTTTAAGTTTAAAAAAAGAGGGAACAAGTTAAGAGGTGAATTAACTAAATTAATTGAATGACAGAAAGTCACAGAGAATTAAAATGACTAATTCATCATCAAGTAATCCTTACAGGTTCAGCATTGGTTGTGCTTTTCCGTCATTTTGAGATGTTCAGTGGACGAAACAACTATTTTAAGTCACAATGCTCTTTAGGAAACGGTGACTGGCCTCTTTTTTTTTTTTTTTCCAAAGACGATCACTAATTAATAAAGTGAGTAAGACTAAATGAGAAAATTACAAGCTGAAAAAAACCAACTTACAACAATCATCATTAGTTCCACAAATTAAACAATTTCTAATAAAATAAAAAAAGTTAAATCAACCACAGTCTGAAATAAGAAAAAGCATGACTGACATTTTTCTCCCATCATGGGCACATACTCAACTGCTTTCAGACCACCCTCATATCCACAGTGATGTGCAGTCTCTGTGGAATTTTCCACAGGATATTGGCTGTCAGGACCCCCCTATTGTGGCCCTCCCTGTAATACAGGCTATTTATAGCACCTTGATTAATATCTGGTACCATCAGGTCACATCTACACTTGCTCTATTGATGAGCGTTGTTATGGTGACCCCATTGGCCTCTTTGCACAAGGCTTTTGCGTAGGCATGAGTAAATGGAGGGCACTGCCTTTCCTTACAATTGATTCATGATGTGTTTCACCTGGATAATCCCTTATAGTTGGTGTGAACTATAATTAACAAGGACACAAAATCAGTAAGTTGGGTTACCATTTAAAATAGGCTCCATACGTTTTAAAAAATAAAAGATTTTTGTCACATTAAAAGTGAGGACGAATGTTTCACTGACGTTTTTTATATCTCTGTGATTGCAGCCACGAACTACTGATGTTTCTTAAGTAGGTGGACAGACAAAATGTATTTATTGTGTCTACGTGCAAAAAGTTCCAGACTGATTTTGCAAACTTTTTATTTTCAACATTATTATTTACATATATTCTTTATTCAGTTAAAGCAAAGCAAGCACAATAGTACTGGGAGGAAATGTGTCATCATTTGCCTGCTTTCCTTTAAAAATCATTAGTGGAAGCAATGAGCATGCATCAGGATATTAGTGGAAGACGAAACCAAACTTGATGGATAGTCCTAAAGGGACAATTGGTATGGGGTTTTTACAAGGTACTTAGTGAAAAGAAAAGAACAAAAACAAAAAGGTGGTTGATTGATATGTAGAAGAGATGCTTAAAAAGATTTAAAAACTGGTCAGTGGGCAGGTCAATTGGTTTCTTTGACTAAAACATAAAACTTTTAGAATACTAAACATTTCACACAAGAAATGACGGGAGTTAAAACATAAAAATGGATCAAGTCAAGCAACTGAGACGTGCATCTGACCTGTAGTGTACGTCTCTTGTTGTCCTCCGTGTGAATCCAGGCTCTGAGAGTGAGCTCTGTGATAAAGATCTGAGCAGCTTTGGCAAACAGGACTGGAGCTTCGGCGCTGATCATCTGTAAAGAGGATAGTGTCACACCTGATTAAACACGGCCCTACACCGTAACACAAATCACCCTGGGTCTGAGCTACAGTATAAATACATCAAATTCACAGATGCAGAACAATAATAAATAAATGCCTCCATTTGAAGCTTAGCGTTCTTTTCTACAAGTCCAAAACACTTGTCCAGACGAACTAAAGGAAAAGTGACATTCTAACAAATCTTTTCACATTTGTGCTACAAAAAAAAAAAAAAAACTGTAAGATCTTCCTTTCACCTCTAATTGCATGGCATTGATATGCATTTCCCACTAAATTAAAATCAAATAAACATAAAAGTTCAAATGTTCATCACAGGCAGTATTAGCAGCATACCACCCACATGCCCTGCTCTTATGCAGTGAAAGCTGCCATGTCAGAACCGACAGAAGGGTCTTTCTCTCGGTTATGTTAGTGATCTCCTGATCTATTTACTGCTTTAAGCTGCTGCTTAACTAAGAGGATAGGACAACACTCTTGACACGACACATTCACAGCACGTTTCCCAAGGCTTTCTGTTGGAGACTGAACCGGCTTTAATGGGAGGAAAATAATCAGATCTTTATGAGGCATGACTGAACACAGCTGATAAATGTTAGGAAATGAAGAGTGAGAACCTGTTCACAAAAACAGGAATAATCTGAGTAGATTTGAGAGATTGGTAATGGCATCAGGAGGAGCCGATTGTAAAATATGCAAGTCAATCATAGTTTATAAACTCAAAATTATTTAATAAATTATTTTAGATCCACATTAAAACCATAAAACAACTTAATATTTACGTTATAACAGAATCTACCTCCAACATATTTAAATTTTACACAGACTACCGTATTTTCCACCGTACGCATCGTACCGCCATATAAGTTGCATCAGTCCATATTTGTCTAATAAAGTGGAAAAATCCATAAATATGTTGCTTCGCCGTATACGTCGCATCTATTATGCGTTTGTTAGGCGTCACCGCTAACAACCCGGAAATGTAGGCCGAACCTGGAAATGTGCACTGGTGTTGTGCCAAAAGCCGATGGGCCACCAAATGGCGGCCGCGGGAGTGTGCACGGGAGGACTCTAAAAAAAATTTAACAAGATTAACACTTAAAAACAATTATTTGTTTGCTCGAAATTATATAAGTGTGTATCAATCTAACGTTTGCTTAATAAATGTACTTTAATGGTCAAATCAGCTGCATTTAAAAATAGTTTGCTGCCTCGGTGCTCCATAAACACGCAGAGAAAGAGAAAAGAAAGGAGGAACGCGGCTCGTTTCTCCAAAAATTAACAAGAACTGCACCTAAACAATTATTTGTTTGCTCAAAATTGTAGCAAAGGTGTGTGTCAGTCTAACATTTGCTTAATAAATGCACTTTAATGGTCAAATTAGCTGCATTTCGCCGAGGCAGTGCAGCTGGATTGACGGTCGGTCCAAACAGTAAGCAGAACCAAGATGGGGAGTCTACGGCAAGCTGATTGAGTCATTAAAAGCTGGTGAAGCTTCTCATGACATGGCAAATTCAAAAAAGTTCAAGAAAAAAAACAACAACAGAGTATAAAGTATAATAAATAAAGTCCAGTTGTTTTTATCTTGAACTTTTTTGAATTTGTCATTATAGCCACGTTTTCCTATTACATGATACAACAACATGCCATACAACTATTACTACTCTGCTGCCATCAAGTGGCTGAAAGTGGTACTGCTCTTTTTTTCCAGTCAGAATGAATGGAAACGCTCATATCTCAGCCAAAAAAATGGTTTATAAATATGGGAAAAAAATCCATAAATATGTCGCTTCGGCCGATAAGTCGCAGGGCGTGTAAATTATGCAAAAAACTGCAACATATACAAAGAAAAATATGGTATTTAAAAAAGGCAGTTTGGTTAGGACTGAGACATCACTTCCTGCATCAGCATCATGTCTGAAATGACTGAGGTGGAATGGTCGGGTTGAAGTTGATGCACCTGTGGGTAGTCACAGTGTCAAATCGGTGAGTATGTGTGAAATGAGGGGGCGTCTCTTGTAATGCTACATTCTGAACAATGGTGCTGTTGTCACTCAGCTGGTTATGCAATAACCCCTTTCTATCGTAAGAACATATTGTAGAGGGACTTGTCTGGTTAGACTGGTTCATGTGGGAATGACCAATGGGGCTTAAAGAGGAAATTGTCTCTGCAGCCATATCAAAGAACTAAAGTCAAAGAGGTTTAAAATAGCCCTTACTGTGTTAACCACACATTCATAGGGTACGAGCACAATAAGCTACATCAAAATAAACTCATAGAAAGCTAGACTACATGACATTTTGTTAGTTTTACTTTAGATTCTGCCAAATCTAGTTTTATTTTAAAGATCAAAATATTTGTAATCGAGAAACTAGTACTACAAAAATGCTCATTTTTTTCCTAATAACATACTAACCAAATTATGGAAATTTTTCACTAAGTGATTTTCTTGTTACCTTGACATCCTCATCCAACTTCATGATTTTCTTGATTCGAGCCAGAGGCAGTTCCTGCACACGGAAATCCTTCTGAAAAATCACAAAGTATTTAAAGATTGTAAAAAAAAAAAAAAGTTTGAGTATTGGGAGACCACATGAAATGTTTGACTCTGACATGTGTGTGTCTTGCCTGAATAAGCAAGTATAACATACCATGGTCAGGTTCCTGATCTCCTCCATGACACGAGGCCAGAAGGACTGCAAGGTTTGCTGGGCATCTGTGGTTCCAGACCCAAAAGCATCTGAAGACATCTTCTACTTTGCTGCACGAAAAGAAGACAGATAACAAAACAGGTTTAAGCAAATAAATTACTGAAGAACAAACGAAACAAACAGGAGTAATGTCAAATTTTATGATAGGTCCAAAACAGAATAGTTAAAGCCAAGAGCTCCACTTGTGTGTCAAAATATTATATCCTTACAGAGCTTCTAATTAAAATCTGAATCTGAATCAAGAACGCACAACCAGACCAGCTGTGCACTCCTCGATTCAGCCGTTAACTGCAGCTTCTCAACAAACACAAGCCTTTTATGTGCAACTGAACACAGCAAATGACCTCAGCAATGAGGATGAAGCTGAACTATAGAAAAAGGAGATCCAGAAGTGTCTGTACCACGGAGAAATAACTTTATGACGAACTGACAAGAGTTTTAAAATATGTACACTTACAAAACAACACAAAAACATCAAAGAAAATTAAACTCACTAACTTCCTTATATAAAGACAGGACCTGAAGATTTGGTGATTTGAAAAAAGGTCCAGCAGGTTACTACGGCATGCTAGGAATCCAGTGGGGGAATATTGGCCTGCCTGTCTGAGCATGTAAAGCTTGGAATATCTTGATCTCAAGCACGCACACACACACACGCATGCATGCACGCACGCACAGAGTCCCATTCCTTATCATCTTTTACAAAACAGGCAAAAAGAAAAGAAGTGTATAGAGAATAGGAGATGGATACATAAAGCTGTTCAAAAGAGACAAGAAGTGGTTATCTGTGTTTCTGAGAGTCAAGCAGGGATTTGTCCAGTTTGGTATTAATCCACTGCTAAGACAAAGAGCTGAAGGCTTTTACTGGGAGAGGTAAAGAAACAGGAAAGGACCCAAAAAGACTACAGCACAAATCAGCTATGTGGGTCAAACAAGACAGAAGAAAAGGGACACAATTAGAGAAAGAGTGTTAGGTGGAAAAAGAGGGGGCTCCACTTTCTCTTTTCTTTCTCATCTCAAAAACAAGCATGGGTGACTCCATTCCTGGTCCTGACAGACAAATGCAATACGAAAGTCAGACTTTCAAACAGCTAGTCAAGTTTCCAGATGTTGTTGCAACTCTGTTGTAAAAGGCTGCTTTGACCTGAAGTCTGCATCAGCTTCTTTCTGTGTGCAGCTGAAGAGCAGCTCTGAATACTTCACATTGATAAATCACTGATTCATCTTTTATCTGATTGATTTTGACAGGATAGATGAGCTTCTCTGTCCGTTGTAGAATTTACTAAATAATACAGAAGAAGCACTGCTGCATCCTGCTCTGTCATTCAGTTTTCGACAGGCAGTAGCCTAAATCAATAAGACAGAATGGCGAGGTGGTGGTGGGGAGGGTGAGTTATATAAATCAATCAGGCTGTTTGTAGCTATGGCATACCAGGCTAGTGATTGACCTTGACAGTGTTTCCCCTTCCCTCTCTGAAGCTCCAGTGTCCAGTTGCATTTCAAGGTTGATTGAAAACCTGCAGTCTCCAGAACAATCCCAGCATGCCACAGGACACAGATGACTGATGGGAATTGTGGTTCTTTTGCCCCATCACCTCCACACTAGATAAAATGACTTGCAAAAGTTATTTTGCAGCCTCGTAGTATTTTGCAACTCACCGAGTCAATGAGAGTCTAATGGTTTTCTAGCTAAATTATATTTTTACCGTCAGCATCAGCACTTAATCTTATGATAATCGTGAACAAGACAACCTTGTGTATCTGCGTGGTTACTGCTCACATGCTGACACGATAAAGATAGGGCAATTGATTTAAACACTAGACGACCACCAGGCTGCTAACAATGATAACAGCTGTGGCTCAGAAGACAGGCCTCACAAGATTCTTTTTTTGTCACCCTGCCTAAACTCCTAGCTTTTCTTTCAAAACACTCAAAGGGCAGGCAAGGCAACTCACTCTCACACAGCTTTTTCTCCTACGTTAACCCTTTGATTTTCGGTGTAAATATACAGTCACACACTAACCACAGCGACTAAAAGGAGGTAGGACGTCAAGTAAATGTGTGAGAAGAGATGAGATCAAGTGTGGCGAGAGGCAGGCTGAAGCGTGAGAGAGAAAAGAAAAACAACCCATGCGAGTTATCAACATGCTCTTGAGCATTGCTCCTTCAGCTTCTTTAGTTAGCATGATCTATCTACAGTAATTCAATTACCATATATTCAAATGATTCACATTAACGAAAGCTTTGCATTGGAGAGGCAATGTCTCATACCCAAGTGCATGACAGACAAAAAAACAAGACTGGAGGCGAATGCTAGCAGCTACAGACAGCAAACATCAAAATGTTATTTTATCTGCAGTAATAATAACCTTTAGCTTCTAAGTTTCAGGTTTCTCATGTTACAAACATATTCTACCTAAAAGAGAACTTGTGTTACAGGGTTTGAAGTTAACCTGAAAAGCTCATCCTTGCTGCCAAGCTGCTACTGTGTCCTTTATTAGCATACATAATGCTGTGCTTCTCTGCTCCACTCTTGCCTACAGGGCTTTTGTCCTTCATCAGGTCACAGGGACAGACAAATGACGGTGTTGGGTTTCCCACAAACTCTGCTTGATGTCTGTGTTTTTGAAAACAAGCATTTGTGCAGTAACAGCTTCGTCCTACGCAGCAACTTGCGCTTCCTCCTTCCGTGATTCTATCGCTCTCCTCCAGTCTCCACCTCTTCCCATCTCATGGCTAAGTGTTTCTCTCTTTTTCACTGTCCTACTTGCTTACACCTGATCACCCTCTTCCAACCTCTCACAGAAAGTCAATGCCACTCTGCTTGCAGCAGCTGAATCAGCACTAATGTTCAGGCAGCCCAGTCCTGCAACTCTCCTCTTTCTGCTTCCTAATCTTCTTTACCCTCTCGCTTTTCTGGAACGTCACATCAAGTGGCACTCAGTTCAGCTCTGACATCACAACACTTTGAGTCTTCAGTTCCTGTGTCCAGTAAATCTGATAGGACACTGGGTTGGGCAGACAAGGGGGGAGATAGCATCACCGTGAGCACTTCTATGTATTTTAAAGTGAAATGTGAAAGAAACAGTAAATGGAAAAAGATATTTTTCATCAAGCACAACATTTCCAGACTGACATGGTTTAAAAACAGACAATGCAGATAAAAAAACAGACAATGCAGATAAATTTGTTAATTGTCTTTTGTAACATAAAATGCTCTGCAGTTAATTGTCCTTAGGTGACATGAAAACTGCCAGGAAGAAAGTGTTGTTAATTGTAGCTAAAAATAAATCAGGAAAGTGAGTTGAGGACACATTTAAGGGCAACATGAGGCAAAGAGCCATCTTTTCCCAGTTGTGTTTCAACATTACTAATAATTTGAAACAACACCCCCTTCCCTTTTTTTTTAGATATATAATCTTATAAATATGCTCATACAAATATAAATGTTTAAAAACCTAAATATTATGACGCTGAAGTGACCTGCACTGTTTGTCTAACTAACAGTCACCAAACATTAGCATTCGAAGTGCAAATACACAACGTACACATGAACAGAGGACTACCACTTCACTGTAAATTATTTAAAGGGCTTAAAAACTTTTTTTAATAATGCGACACCAACTTCTAGAAGGTCATTCCTCCACCATCATGTCTGGAGCAAGAAGTCAAATTTAAACAAGTTGATGTGTGAAACAGTATTGATGCAGGTTCTGCAAAGTTTTAATAGAATCCTAATTTTTTTTTTTTTTTTTTTTTTTAATGGTCAACCAAGAGCCCACTATCTAATGTTTAATTTGACATTTTTATTATGATGGGGGAAAAAAACAGTTTAGGAAACAACTTATACTACATTTTAGAGCAAGACCTTAAACCAAAGAGTGTGTGTACGTGCGTGTGCATGAACTCCTAAACCCCTACCACCAGTGACCCTGATTACATATACCACACAGAAAAACTGGCATGGGTACAGTGTCAGGGTAAATCATCTACTTTTAGCAACAAAAAAAGGGGTAAAAAAAAAAAAAAAAGTTACAAATTAACCACTTGGACATTTTTACAGATGTCCTTGCAATTTTGGCATTTCAAAAAACAGTGTGCGTGTGGAAGGTGGAGGTGGCGACACCAGGTATGGCTTTATTGATAAACGTTTCCCATTAAGCGACAGTACAACATCACTCTTTAGGCCGGGCTGGATTGAACTAGTTGACCAAACGGCCCCACAAACTTTGCCCTTGGTTTTGCTTTAAGCAAACTCCAGGAAGTGCTAGTCACTGATCTCCCAAGGTCATTCAACAGAGGAGCGAGAGAAACCAGAGAGGGAGAGAGAAAAGGGAGATGAAAGCGAGAAGGAGGGGAGGGGGGTGGGGGATGAAAAAGGACAGGTTTTCCAACTTTTACAGCAGCGGCAAGTGACCCCATTGGTTTAAGCTTTGCACCTACTAAGAAGATAAATTAAAACAATGCAAACCTGACATAATAACTACATTCTGCATTCCTTTTTGAATTTTGCTTCCTCTCATCTTCATCCACATTTCTAGCTCTCATTGCTGACGGAGATAACGCAAGAGAGTCAATGTCACATTCCTATGACCTTCATCCAAATGCTAACCCGTGTCTCTGGCATCAAAGAGGGCAGGGCTAAACGTACCTGCATATACTACAAGCTGGAACACAGCTCCTGCTGCCCACAGACCATTTTTAGTGACAGTGTACACATGCAAAAACAGTCTGAAGGCTATGAAAAAAGCACAAAGGTATGATAGATGTGGTCACCTTTATGACGAGCTGAAAGCTGGCTAGTTGGTGTGTCTCATTTACTTATTCCCCTCCGTGTGTCTACAGTTCAGAGTAGGGCAGCAATGATATTCAAATCTTGTGCAGACAGCAGCCAACCCTGGGATTTGGTAGCAAGGGTTTCAACTTGAGTTATTTTTAGTGTCCCTCTTTCAATGTATCAATTTATATTTCCCCGACAGGACTTTTATTTTGTCAACGGCACCAGTAGGAAGTTTGAATTAAGCAGCAGTAGAGAAGAGAAAGAGTCCGAGGCAAGTGAGAGAAGACGCATCCTCCAAAGACTCCCATCAGAAGAGATCAGATCAAACTATTAGCCTCCCCTGCCCCTGAAGCTGACAGGCTGACAGTCTGTCCCATCTGGGCGTCTGGCACTGTCGGGGAGGGGGCCTGGGGGGTCGTGAGGTCACTGCAACCAGCTGCACCTCCAACCCTGGGGACCTCTGACACCAACAACGTGACAACAGCACAGAGTTATATTCTCCAATTGCAGTGAATCTCCTTTCATTACTGGTGCTTCCCTAGCTGCTCTTTAGCTCTGTGTTACTGTCTGGTGCAAATTTATTAACAAGGTCATGGGAAAAGCAGAGTGTAGACTGACTGTCACCCCACGGCCCAAAGGCCATGGCCCCCCATGGACATTTATACCAACAGGACAGTGAAGGCTGACAGAGCACTAGGTCAGATTTGAGCAGCTAAGCTCTTCCATCCAGTCAATAACAGAGCACAAAGTTCTTGTACATGTGTGCACGGTGGAGGTCTAAAGTCAAAACAAGTCACTTCTAAATTATATTTAAATGTCCTTATTATTTTGATATTGAGAAGACACACCAAAAACAAGAAACTTGTTTCTGTAACTGAAGATGATTTGGTCAAACCATAAATGCTGCAACAAAGTGACAAGTGAAGGGCATGGATGAGAGATACAACAACAATCTTCCAAGGAGAAAACTACAGGACAGAAAGGGGAGGGGGGACTGAGGACAGCTGTAAAGGACAGACACGCTCTCTTCACTGCAGAGTGATGGAGACACAAGTACAGCGAGAGGAACAATTTATTCAGAAACTCAAAGCAACTTAACTTGGCGGATTGTTTCTCTCTGCGTGTGTTTTTTGGCGGACAGACTTACCCCCTGTGCCCTTCATGGTGTACGGTCTGGCCTGCTGAAGTACAGCAGAGATGGAAACAGATAGCCCTGCTCAAGTCTCCTCGAGAGCAGCAGCAGCGAGCACAGAGGTTGACAGAAAACTCTCCCATGGCCCCCCCACTTCCTGCAGTCTCTTGATCGTATCAACAGACAAAAGGCACTCTGGCTCCACCGGACAGCTTTAAAAAAAAAAAACAGGTCTAAACCAGGACAGAGTAAGGAGCAGGCACCTCTTGTCTCCTCCCCCTCCCCCTTTCTCTCTCCCATTTCACACATTGCCCCGTCTCCTTCAGCAGTTCCCAAGGTCCTCCGAAACATCGCTTCCATTTCTCCTCTTACCAAGTCCCCTCAACTTGCTGACCATCTCTCTTTCTCAGTCTTTGTGCTCTCCGACACTTTTCCCCCTGACTTTTGCCATTGTCCAAGTGTTTGTCTTTGAGCTGACCCCTGGCCGGTTGGTGGGGAGTAAGAAGAAACAGAAAGGCAACATAGCAGCAGGCAAACAGTACAGCAGCGCTCCTGACACAGAGACAAAAATCTCTAGCCTCCTTCCCCTTTAACATTCAAGTATAATCAATCAAGCATGCTACATGATACTCAAACCCCGCCTCAAACCCAACTCCCACCTCATTCTAACAGACGCAACCAATGTGAGGACAGGGTGTTCGCAGGCTATTGGACGCTACACACACATCAGCTCTGACTCCTCCGCTTTCCTCTACCCAACCCCCTCACTGACAGCCAACTTCCTGCTCTAAGTTACCTTGAGCTGCAGGATAGGGGTCAGGGGAAAGAAAAGAGGAAGAGAGAGATGAGCGTTGTTTTTTTTTTTTAAAAAGAGCAAATAAAGTTTTGAAAAAGTGCAAGAGAGTGCGCGCACGGTGGCTTGCCTTGTCATTGTTTGTCCTCAAGTAGTCTCCGTCTCAACTGCTGCTGGTCGGATAAAGAAGGCTCCACGGGCTGCTCTCTGACAACTGCTTTCTGCTTATTTACAATGTCAAACTAAATGTCTCCCTCCGTCCCGCCTCCGCTCGGCTGCTACAGGCTGACCGCACCGTGACGCAGGCAGGCAGGGCTGCGCTCACTGGCTGAAAGGAGTGCCAGAATTGATGCCGCATGTTGCATCCACATGATTTAAAGTACAAAAACCATACAGCCAGCCTCCCCGCCTCACGCATGTACACAGTCTCACAAGCACATCCACACAAGTGCACATTTTGTCCTTGCTCACATTTGCAGGTAAATGCTGGAACAATTTAGCCCCTAAGCAACCCATTTGTTGTAATAACATGATAATAACAGTCTAACAAATAAACTCATTTGTTTACATATGTAAACACGTATTTGTCTGGAATATAATTTAAAAGTAACACTCAAAAATATGACACAGGGGCAAAAATGTGCAATTTACAACTACCAGTATACTACTGAAACTCTATCAAATAATAATACTTATAATAAAATGAAACAGATCATTTTAGGATATTTGTTAGAATGGAATCAGCTGACTGGAGAGCATTTGTTGAAGGTTGGGAAAGGTGAAACCTGATTCTTGTTCTATTTGTGGTTAAACAAGGCTTAAGAGTTATGAGTAAAAGCCTGTAAACAAACAAAGACTGTGTTGTCCTGACCCCTAAAAATCTAAGCTCACAGTAACTTCCACAATTAAAACACTATGAACCCACATGAGCAATGTCACTGACAGTGTCCCTTTTGTTCACTGGTGCATACTTTCTTCACAGAAACCTTTACTTTGTAACACAGATAACAAACACTACAGCTCATTTGTACACCTTGCGTTTTATGCACCACAACCTTGATCCGTTTTCAACAAATCCAACATGTGAACTCGTTGGAAAACATACAGATCAGTGAAGCGATAAGAAGCAACTTATTGGCCTAAAGCTTAATGCTGCATATGACTGCAAATCTCTACAGCGGTGAACAGAACAAGCTTAAAGAGAAAGGGAAAAAGAGCAAACCTGCCCCATCAATGAAAAACCCAGGGGGGGAAGGGAACCGGAAGGATGAAGAAGGACAGAGAGGAGTTGTTAAAGGATGGGAGGGGTAGAACAAGTGAAGGGAGGGTGAGAGAACATGACAGAAACTCAAGAGAAACAAAGCTAAATGTTCCCTTTTCTATTTTTGCAAGGAACATGAGAACAAGAGAAGGTATTACAGACACCAGGTTAATTAGTGGAGTGGGGCTGCACAAAGATTAACCTCTATCGTGGCTTGCAGGCCAAAGCATCTTTCCGTACATAGCTCGCTACCCAAAATGCCTCAGTAATGACACCTGGCAAGGTCACCATACAAATGAAGCATTCCCATGACCCGTGCAACCCGTAGCAGGGACGTATTTGCTCTCAATGACACTGTTTAGAGATAAACATGCACCAACCAGACGTTAGGTTTCATAAACACACAGTATGCTCAGGGTGGCCACGATAAGCCACGCATTTACCCACATACAGCACCTGCAAAACTAAACAGACGGCTGAATGACTCGCACAAAAGTTGCTGCTAGATTAAACATAAATAGAATAAACTGGTACATAGAGAAAAATTATCTAAAAATGGTTGGTGCTGCCACATTGAGTTGCTCAAACATCTAGATTTCTCATAAATGAAAGCAAAAGATTAACTACGTCTGAAGTCTTAACTGAAGAAATATCTAGTGGTCCTACAAATCAAATTGTACTCCTATTTTTGCAAGGAACATGAGAACAAGAGAAGGTATTACAGACACCACTTTTATTTTCAAAAATAGACATGAGAAAAATGTGCACAGAATCAGTTACAGTATATCCTGATGCATGCTCAATAATCCAGGTAGAAAACATAAAAAAAGTTAAGTCTGGTCCTCTGGACATTCAAAAAACAAAACAAAGCAAACAACAAAAATTGTAGAAACCTTTCGTTTTTCATCAAGAAGTCTTTCGGATGAAAGACGAAACGTTTCTACATTTTTATTTATTTATTTATTTTTTAAGAAAAAACCTAAAAGCTTTTCAGAGACGACCAATTTTATTGTTTAAGAACAAAGTCTTTTTTTTTTTAATTCAAAAAAGTTACTTTGTTTTTGATTTTCTGAACTTTACATATGGAAAAGAGATTGTTAAATTCCTAACCAGGTACATCAAGAACTCCTTTTTCACTATTAATTTTGTAATGTTTTGACAAGAACTAGAAAACGTTTGTTTTAAAAATAAGGAAAAAGTACCACACAACTTGGAAACAATAATTACGGTAGTCATGGCTTAATTTGTTGTACACAACTGGAAAAATGAATTTAAAGTAACTTCATAGGAGGTTTACTTCAGTGAGATTGATCTAACTGGCTAAGGAGAAGTATTAAATCAAAGTATCAGGGTGTGTAAACTGAAAGCAAAGCTAGATCTTGTGCAAGTACACGAAACCAGCGAAGCATTTCTCTTGTACAAAATGCGGTCAACACATTAAAACTGAATTTGTAGTTGTTAACACGCCGCTAAAGACAAAGAACCGCAGCTTTAAACAAACTCTGCTCAGCATAATGTTAAGCTGGTCACTGCTGACTGTGACATTGAGAAGTTAATGTTAGCATGTCACATATGGTGACTGCCAGCTGACTGTCCGCGGAGTGCGAGACATTTTATCACTAATTGCCGAGTCCTGTCTTAAAGTAAAAGTTTGCAAAGCTAGGAAGAAACAGTCTAACCAATAAAGGCAACGTTCGGATCTGTCCTTCAGACCAATCAAACCTCGGACTAGATTCCACCAATCAAGGTTTTTAAGGCTAAGTTCGTTCTGCAACTGACGCCATTCGGGATCCAAACGAAATAGCCGCTGCGTTTCACCGTTGCGCTAACGAGAACCAAGATGGCGGACGCACACTACCAGTTTCCTGGACACCCAGGCTCCTTCCAGCGGGCCACCAATAAGCGCCTCAGAGAGCGGGGAGGGAAATGGCGCCCATGTTCATCTTCCAAAACAATCGTCGATTGGTCAAGAACAGCAAATGAAAAGAAGCCGAGTAATTGCCCCCACTTCCACCCACCACGGAGAACTTCCACACGAACACTTATACACGTAAAATATTTTTAGGGTTTTACTCACTTTCTTTTTCGGATTCGAACTGAAGTCCGGCTCAACGTATTATTTATTTTATTTAGCAAGCAAAGGGAACAAGATGGCTGCTTAACTCAAACCGGAAAGAGATTAACGCAATGACGTATTTCAACATACGTTTTTCCAGCGGACCGGCTTCAGGACTTGAAACGAGAAAAAATATTTGCAGAACAAAAAAAAGATAAATCCAATTTGAATGAATTAAATAAAATGAACAAGTGTGAAAATGTAGGAATGCACGTGTTTGTTTTCTCACAATATTAATATTACGTTCGAAAATAACAGATCATGTATAAACCATTCTCGTCTTATTAACCATATGTAATCTGAAATAAAATAAATATAAAATTTCTCCAAAATTATTTAATACATATATTTTTGGTGACAACTTTGTAATTTAACTTGGTAATTTAGACCCTTGTCATTGTATACAAAATTCCTATTTTCTGTCCCAAATTTTTTAATGGTGACATTATTCTCATTAGTGCACAAGAATGTTCTTACAACTACAAAGAAAAAGTAAATATGTCCTATATCAAATCTGAATTGTCCCCAATCTGCATTAAAGCATCATATACAAGAATCATTGTTTAAAGACAATTTCTTTACCTATAGTCATGAACTCTGGGTAGTGACTGAAAGAACAAGTAGGTTGATACAGGCGGTTCCTCTGCAGGGTAGCTGGACTCTCCCTCATAGGGTGAGTTCTGTTATCTGGGAGAGACTCTGAGTTCTGCTGCTTCTCCACATCTAAAGGAGCCAGTTGAGGTGGTTTGGGCATATGGTAAAGATGCCCCCATAGCACTTTCCTAGGTAGGAGACTGGGCATGACCGGCAGAGGCTCAGGAGGACACGCTGGAGACGACGTCTCTCGGTTGGCCTGGGAACACCTTGAAGTCCTCAAGCTCCTGCTCAAGCTGCTGCCCCCGCAACCCAACTTCAGAACAAGCTAAGATAATGGATGGATGAACGTCAACTATTTTTACATTTTAAACTCAAACTGTGAAAGGTCTCTTTCAACAACAGACGATATTTTTACATAAAAATGTTGCTCAAAAAGTTCCATAAACACAAATGACATTTACCAGTAGATTTATTTCCCAAGACATGTTCTTCACTGTGTACAAATGTTTCTATTTAAACACATCGACAAATGTCTGCAATAAAAACTTAATACACAAGACACGTGAAAATAAACGTTAGACTAGCACAGGTAACAATTATTACAACTCTACTAAAAATGACTTCTAATTTCTAATTTGCCGTAGATAGGAAAACTAAGAAATGCAAGACTTGGGCTTTAAATTCTGCAAACACGAACACAGGCTTTTGAAAAACAACAAAACTAGAGCAAATCACCTACAACAAACCAACAAACATCGTCGTTCTTTTCCACTTAAAAAAAAAAATCCTTTAAAAATGAAATCCATTTAAAAAAAACATTTTTATTTTACAGATTCACGTTGAAAATGATTATTTTCTTGCCACAAGCTCCAGGAGAGTACTGGTGATTTTGTCCAGGTTGTTGGAGTAGCGAGAATCTCTACTCTTCTGCTCCATTTGGAGCGGAGCTGCAGAGGAGTGAGGCTCAAAGAACTGTCCATCGGCAGGCTGGTAGTCTTGAGGGTGCATGGATTCTTGAAACCTTTCAGGATAATAAGATGGTTGATCTAAATGAAACAAGATGAATATTGTTAGTAACCAAAACGTTTTGCAGCAAAGAAAGCAGACATTTAAAATGCACTCACTAATCAAAGTAACCGCTCTATCTCAATCAAATTTAGGTGACAATCTCAGCAAAACAAAGAGGTATTTTATCAACGATTTTTAGATCGGAGACCAGATGAGTGATGCTTGATAAGAAAGCTCTCCCGATCACTGAATCTACACAGTGCACAGATCTGGTCATCAGAATGAGACTGTTGAAGACATTTTATGCATATGCCCAGTACTGTTGAATTAGGACTGAATGAATGTGTTTGAATGAAACGCACTATGAACCTCAAACATGATTATATTACCCTGCATACTTTAGGTGATGAACATTTACCACTTATAGCTTTCCCTTTCAAGCACAGAGAATAATAATAATAATATAATAATCTATATTTTACAGCATTAGTCTCAATAAACACCCACAACGCACCTATCCATCTAGGTCAGAGGTCTGCAATCTGTGGCTCTGGAGCCACATCTGGCTCTTTAGTCTCTCATCTGTGGCCCTTTGAAGCTTTGACCAAAACTAACATGATACTGTATTTACGGTAATTTTTTTCTGTAAGTTTTAGTTGTTGTTTTTTTGCCAATTTTCTGTAAATTTGTGAGATACACTACTAGTACAAGAAGCAAAACTTGTTGATTATATTTAGCTACTTCATTTATCCAACCTCCAGGCTTACAGTGGGATCGTTCTCTCAAAAAAAAAAAAAAAATCAATAACTTGTCCAGCAATGACAATTTTTTTCTGCATATTTAAAATTTGTTTTATTACTTCAAAGTGGTACTGTATACTTAATTTTAAGTCAAGAAAAAAAAGACCGTCATAAGCCTGCCAAAACTCAGTATAAACAATTTTTTCTTACTTTTGGTCTTTCCTTTTACCCTAAAATGTAAAAACGATCAACAAATGTAAAATATCATTATATATTTCTAGTTTTATAATGTCATCCTAACTGGCCAGAAAAGCCCTCCTCCAACGACCTCTAAATGGCCCATGGGCCACCAGTTGATGAACAGGTTTTGCGGCTCCAGACATTTTATTTAAAAATGAGTTCACGAGAGTTCTTCTAGAAATTTCTGTCAGATCAGGCCCACACAGGCAGTGGAACAGATTCTTCTCATTTTGCCCCAAACTACATTATATAATGAATAAATCTATAAACTATGATTTTCTTCTGAACGTGAGGGCACCATAGGCCTAACATGTCTTGATATCTGGATGCAGACAAATTTAAAAAGGCAATGAGCATGTTGGTGATTACTACAACACCTGTACTGTAGAAGGAACATAAACCCCCAGGATTTCCACATTTAGAAAGTCTTGCCAACATCTTGATCCCTTCTGTTTTCTGACTTCAAAACACTGACAGAAGTGATGCATAATTTCCACTGTGGCAGCAGAGCTTTTAAAACAAAATTAAAACCCACCGCGAGAAGTCGTCCATCTTAGGCAAAGATGCAAACTCTAAAAGCAATCACTTCTGCAGCAGTTTCTCTTGATGCGTTTGATAACATGAGTCAGTAGCTTTAATAGTTTGCCAAGATAAGAAGAAAGGTTTGAGTTCGGCTTAGGCTACAGCCGGTCAACCCTGGCTTTTTGAAGCACTTCCCGTAAATGGGCTGTTCCGAGTTTCATTTCTATCTCAGCAGTCCTGTGAAATTTCACTAGTCATTTACAGTAGTGTGAAAAAGTGTGTCCCTTTCCTAATGGTTTGGTTTTTTGTGGTCACATTTACATGTTTCAGATCATCAAACAAATGTAGTTTTTAAATGAATATCTTTATAGTTAAGAGGGGGAACAAATCCTACACTAAAAACACTTTCACACCACTGTACGCGTGTTCAGGCATTTCTTCTGTTGGCATGTTTAATCCTGCTCACTGCAGGAAAATAAAAAAGTTTTACCTTTGTGAAACTGACACAAAAACAAAAACACTGAGAAGTACTGTGTGGAAAATCTAAGTCCACCCTTTCTGCTTTTTGCAAGTAGTAGCAGCCAAGAGCTTCTGATCAAATGTACTTCATTACCTGATCAACAATAAAAAACGCTGCATGGACAGAAATCAGTTGAGGGCAGGTAACAATGTTTTAAAACAATGTTACACTTGTGAAGCAAGAATAATTGTCTTTGCTGAAAGTTATCTGTGTTGAACAGGAGGGGGCATACCTACAGGTTGAAGAGCAGATGTCACCCCCTACAGTAACACAAGAATCTTGTCATGGGTGGCTTTACTCATTTCCTCACAGATTATAACTTTCTTCACATGACCATCTTGCCATTAGTGGCCACTGTAAAACTGTTCACATAAATATAAGATCATATAAATGTTAACAACGGACCGCAACGCTTCATTATACAAAAACAACAAACGTTCAGCTTCCATACACACCTTGTGGCTGCACATAACCACAGGAAATGATCTCACAAAAACTTTCTTAAATAAAAATATTTACTTGAACACAAAACCTTCAGACGGGACTTGGTGTCGTCTTTTCTACGCTCGTATCCAAGGAGGCACATAGAAACAGAATTACATGGGCGTTTCACCCATTATGGTCCCCCTTTGCAGCATAGAACATTAAACAAACAAAACAAAAATAAACCTTTTTGATTCACAATAAATGCTTTTTTTAAATAAATACTTCAGGACAACCAAATAAAATTTACACAAATCATTTAGCCGTTAAAGTAGACCTAATTTCCCTGAACAACAAACACAGCTCACTGATCATGTAATGTCAAGTTCAGGACGGGGATCTTTATTTAAGGTACTTGAACTTAATATTCAGAGTACTGATGTCAAAACAGTGAAAGATGCAGTTCAGTTGCTCTAACAGCATCTTCAAAGTTCCACAAAACCAGGTTTTTGTAAGGGTAAATATTAAATGTACGAGCTGTCAGGTGAATAAAAACAAGCGTACCGCACACAGCACATTACACTCGCGTCGACAAACTATTATACAGCAATACAGAAATCTATAGCAATGGCCCTAACAAGCAAAGACCTCATGTAACCTTTCACCTTGATTTGTGACCTTGAAGCTGAGGTCATGAAAAGTGTTCGCAACACTGTTTCGTGGTGAGGCATGTGTATCAAGTGCCATTAAATTATCTTGAATAGATCAGAAATTACGAACTGGACAAGAGAAAGTTTACATACAAATGTACAGATGCAGACTATACTATATTATATACCCTATTATTATATGCCCTTCTATCAACAGGCATATAATAATATTATCAACAACAACAACAACAACAACAACAACAACAACAACAACAACAACAACAACAACAACAACAACAACAACAACAACAACAACAGGGAAAAAAAACTCTTAGAAGCTCTGCTGTACAGGAACTAGAAGCTTTTCTGACTGGAACCCGAGTAACGTTTACCATTCAACACTTGCACTTGTGTGATCTATTGAACAGAAGTGTTTTAAATCTTTCTGAGCTATCAGTGTGTTTTTAATGACATAATAAAGTCAATTTGATCATTAAAAACTGCAAGAACACAGCATACCTTCAAAACGGCCTCTGCTCGAGTATCTGGGCTCCATCTGAACAGGATGGTTGTACTCCTGCTGGTGCTGCTCAGATGTATAGTCACGCTGCTCCCAACCTCTCCCGTGACTGAAATTGGGGTCGTCCTGTCGTCTGTGGTCAAAACTGTCTCTAAGGGGTGGCACCGAGTCACCGTAATTTGAGGCTCCTGCTCGACTTTGGCTGTCGTACTACAATAACAGAAGAAATGCTTTGGTCATTTGTTTTGCTGCTTTGTTAGGAAAACAAAACCAGGACAGTATTTGTATTTTGTTTTTAATTACCAAAGCTATACAGTATATACAACTGAAACCAGAAGTTTACATACACTATTTAAAAAGACACACACATTTTTTTCCACACTGTCTGATGTGAATAAACTTTTCCCGTTTTAGGTCAATTAGAATTACCAAAATTCTTTCCATTTGCAAAATGCCAGAATAATGAGAGTGAGAATTTCTTAAGGCCATTTTTATTACTTTCTTCAAAGTTAAAAGTTTAAATACACTTCATTAGTATTTGGTACCATTGCCCTTAAACTGTATGACTTGGGTCAAATGTTTAGGATATCCTTCCACAAGCTTCTCACAATAGCATATAATAATTGCACCCTGTATTCACTGGTTAACTGGACATCATTAACTTCACGCAGACTCTCCCATTGGTACATTTTCATCTTTAAATCACTTCTTGGTCTGCTGCCTTCATACATCTCCTCCTACATGTCTCTGCACGAGTGCAGCTACAGCGTGCGCTCTCAGGACATTATTACCTGCAGTGTTCCCTCATTGAGGACTGAACTAGGCAAAAGCACCTTCTCCTACGCTGCTCCCGTTTCTTGGAATATCTTGCAAAAAGACCTGAAGCTCTTGATCTTGACTTCTCTAAGTGACTTTAAAACTCTGTTAAATTCCTGGCAAAAACCAATGCAGACATGTTCCTGTTTTTAGTTTTCTAAATCACCTTAAAAGCTAGCTGTTTTTTTGCTACTATTCCTCTTGCTTGTCCTTTTGGTTGCTTTTTTGTATTGATTTGTTTAAAAAAAAAAAAGAGAGAGAGAAACTTTAAATTTGTATCCCTATGCCTATGTTATGACTGTCTATTGTTGTTGTTGCTACCCATTATTGTCATTACTCTTTGTTAAGAAATTGGGTCCATCTTGTAACAGAGTCCCTGAAGCTCAACGGGATTAACACGTCTTAACAAAGGTTGAATGAAAATAGCTGGAGGGAATTTTGGCCCATTCCTCCTGACAGAACTGGTGTAATTGGGCCATGTTTGTAAGCTGCCTTGGTCGCAGATGCCTTTTCAGCTTTGCCCATAAATTTTCGATAGGACTGAGATCAGGGCTTTGTGATGGCCACTCCAAATCATTGACTTTGTTGTCCATGAGCCACTTTGTACCCAGTGTGGCAGTATGCTTCAGGTCATTGTCCATTTAGACCCATTTGCACCCAAGCTTTAACTTCCTGGCTGATGTCTTGAGATGTCACTTCAGTATTTCCACATAATGTTCTTTCCTCATGATGACATCTATTTTCTGAAGTGCACCAGTCCCTCCTGCAGCAACACCCCACAACATAATGCTGCCACCCCCATGTTTCAGTCGGGAAGGTGTCTCAGGCTTGCAAGCTTCCGCCTTTTTCCTTCAAACGTAACGATGGTCATTATGGCCCAAGAGTTTAATTTTCGTTTCGTCAGACCACAGGACATGTGTCCAAAAATTAAGGTCTTTATCCGTGTGCTTTTGCAAACAGTAACAAACAAACGTCTGGCTTTTAATGTTTCTTTTGAAGTAATGGCTTCTTCCTGCAGAATGGCCTTTCAGCCCATGTCGATACAGTTTCACTGTGGATAATGACACACTCTTACCAGGTTCAGCCAGCATCTTCACCAGGTCTTTTGCTTTTGTTCTTGGGTTGATCTGCACATTTCGGACGAAAGCATGTTCATCTGCGGGACACAGAACCCGTCTCTTTCCTGAGCGCTATGATGGCTGGACATTCCCATCTTGTTTGTACTTGCACATTTGTTTGTACAGATGAACGAAGCACCTTCAGGCATCTGGAAATTGCACCCAAGGATGAACCAGACTTGTGCAAGTCCACAATTCTCTTTCTGATATGTTGGCCGATTTCTTTCGACTTTCCCATGATGTTACACAAGGAAGCAGTGTGTTTCAGGTGTTCCTTAAATTACATCCACAGACAGGTGTGTCTTTAATCAACTCAGATGTCATCAATAAACCTATCAGAAGCTTCCAAAAACATGACATCCAATGTCCCAAATTGTTTAAAATCATAGTAATCTTAGTGTATTTAAACTTTTGACTTTGAAGAACGTAATAAAAATTGCCTTAAAAAATTCTCACTCTCATTATTCTGGCATTTGACAAATAGAAAAAATGTTGGTAATCCTAATGGACTTAAAACGGGAAAAGTTTATTCTGATCTCACATCAGACAGTGTGAAAAAAAAAGCATCTTTTTAAATAGTGTATGTAAACTTCTGGTTGTGTGTGTAATGCATACCCCAGCTTTCTCCATTTTTTTGTTTTTAAATTCTGCCAAAACACTGGCGAGTTTGCTCTTCAGGAAATCAGCCTCTTCTGCACTCTCAATTTGAACATTTTTCTGAAACGATTTTTTTTTAAAGAAAGACACCACGTAAAGCTCAATGTTAGTGAATAAGTAGAAAACAAGCATAATGTACAAATTGTTATGAATGTTGCAAAATCTTATGTACAATCATACCAGCATGTCGAACACACCACCTGACTCCGAGCCTCCTCTGCTGTAACTTTCACCAAAATGTGAAGCCTTAAAAAAATTTCAGGAAATAATCAAAAACCATTAAACATGTAAAAATTACAGAATAGTTCAGAGTATAAAACTAAAAAAAGACATACTTTTACAGTTATTTACCTGTAATCCTGTGGGGTGATCTGAATATTGTGTAAAGTGGGTTTCAGGTCTCTGCAGTCCACCACCTGGTCTGGAATCCCTGCCACTGTCAGTTTGCATATAAGAAGGTTTATATTCATCCCTGAATCTTAAAGAGAAATCAATGTTGGGGTCAATCTGAAAATTAGACGCTTAACACATCAGCGAGGCAGTTTTCTGGGAAACAGTTCTTCCAGTCTTTACACTCACGTCTCTTTTGCCACTTTCACTTCTTCTGGTGAGGCATCTGAGAAGCGACTTCTTCGTTTACCAGCACTTCTTGTCTCGTCATTTTCATTACCTTTCATGAAACGTCTGAATGGCTCTGGTATGTCTGACACGATACTGGAAACTTCCACACGTCTCTGACTTGAAGAGGGTCCTGCTTTGTTTGGACCAGCATTGTCGAATGCTTTCTCTTGATATTGATCTCTTGGTTCGTAACAATAATCTTTGATTAGCATTTGCTCATGTGATGGATCAGTGTCCAGAGGTGAGGAAAAGCTCCTCCTCTTGGCCTCTGGTTCACTTGATCCTTGCCTTCTTGCGCCTGTCATATTGTTGTGTGTGCTGCTCTCCATGAAGCTTCGTTTATCACCTTCAGGGTACATCATCTGTGAGGAGCGCTGATGTCCAAAAGAACTAGCTTGGCCACGTTTAACTTCTTCAGAGTAGAGCTGCTCATCTAGAGGATCTCTTTCTGGACAGGGTCTTTTATTAGGAGGAGCTCCTGCTGGGTAATAATTTACATCTTGAAATTGGCCACGAGACATCTGATGGCCATAATCATACCTTTGAGCATCCTGTGGCCCAGGTATTCCACTGCCTTGTTGCTGTCTGGCATATTCGCTTTCAAATGGATCATAAACATCAGGCTTCTTGAACTCCTTTCGGTAATCAAAACCTTCTCTGTAGTCTGGCCTTCCCCGTTTCTCTTGGAAGCGATCATGACCAGTTGGGTCTGCCGCTCCAAACCATCTTTTGTTGGGAGGTTCATTTGGAAAGAACCCAGGAGTTTCCTGATAACCTGAAACATTCTTTTTATCTTTGTAATCTTTGAATTCAGGTAGAAGTGGTGGAACTTCTTGGTGTGTCTGTTGTGGGAGGTTTTCATCCCTTTTTGGCCACTGGTTTGGAGGAGCTAATGGGAGAAAATGGTTGTTTATTTTCTGAACAAAATATATGAAAGACAGAGTCTTGCGCAAATCTAAGGCCGCTATATTTTCAGTCCTAGGTGCCAGTCTTTGTCTTTTAAAATAATGTTGACTGAAGGTTCTTCAAGTTTTCTAAAAACAAAATTTTTATTTGAATTTTGGATGCTTTTTTTAACTCATATTTTACTCATATTTTACCTGCCTATGATAGCATATTTTGCAGCTTAAAATAAAGAAAGTAGAGTACAAAAAAGTTGCATCAAACTTTACAAACTGGAGTAGATGAACTAGTATTTTTAATTCATGGCTTTAAAAAGTTGTTTTTTTATCCCACAAAAACCTGACGAGACAGTGGATCACCTTTTTAAAGAAAATATTCAACTATTAGCTATTGCTTAAACGTGGTTTCAAAAGTTTATATTTTTGTTATTTACAGTAGATTTAACCGAACAGAATTATATTTTCTCTGTGATGGGTTACTAAAAAAGTCCTTCAAGAGCCTATATTAAAATGGATCTTTACAAGAGTGGTTATGTATCGATAACCCTGATTAATTTCTTAAGAGCTTTTTTACGCTTGAATGATCCACAAGTCAGAGTTAAATACGACGCAAGGTTTTGATGCTACTAGTGCTTAGTGTATTTTTAGTTGATGTTTTTCTTACTTCATATCTTAGATCTTATTACTGTTTTTCTTTTGCATTTTATTGTTGGATGTAACTGGGACCCTGTGTACATAATCTCATTCCACCATATATAACACATGAGATGCAAATGACAAATAAATCTGATTCTATGATTCTGATTCTCTGATAAATGTCGTAACAAAAAACAGTATACGAAAGATGGTCGAGTAATGGACTTAAAATGTGTAAAACATGTTTCAGTAGTTTAGGAAAAGCCTTTTAAAACTGTAAGAAAGTCTGAACATGTTTTTTTTATCTAGATTACTGAAAACACCCAAACAAATACTGTGACTTGAATATATGTTATTGATCTCGGTAATCTCAACAGAATTTATTTGATAAATATGAGATAAAACTAAACACTACATGCAATACCTACATCCCAAAATTTCTAAACTCAACCTTTACAATGTGACATGCAGACACATCTTAGCACTGGCTTTTTCTTGAGTTTCAACAGAAACTATTTTTAATCATAACTATACAGTTTACCATTTTAATAATATGTTTATATTTGTCAATGAACCTGACAGGCAGCAAAGTTTTTACAAGCAGGAAGTGTCCACACCTCTTGAGACGTTTACTCTGTCCTCACTTCGTCTTCTTAAGAGCATCTGAAACACCGTGCAAACAAAAAACATTACAACAAGAATTTTTGTGATTAAAAATACAGCTTTGACAATATTTAATGTGTTCAATATACCGTGTCTTACCTTTGGAGTTCCTTGTCCATCCTGTCTCTCAACTATCTCAGCTTTGGCTCGAATGCTTTTCCCTACCTGGGTTTTTGCAGTTTGATTATCCCAGGTGACCAAGTCTGGACGTTCAACTTCCTGCAAAAATCCAAATGCTTCAGTAAAAATTTTAACCTTATAGTATCCCCCCCCCCCCCCCCCCCAAAAAAAAAACATGCATAATGTTTTACCACATATCTCTGACGATGTTTTCGTCCAATCACGTGGAAGATCATTTCCACAACCGCTCCAGACAGATTACACAACCTGCAATTGTACTTGGGGCCAAGTAGTGGCTCAAAAGATGGCATCTCTTCGAAAAAATTTAAACCTATGACAAAAATAGAAAAAAATTAAAAGATGACTTAATCATAAAGGCTGCAATGATGACTGTCAAAAGTCTGAACAAAAGTATTTACCAATGATGGGTTCATCAAGATTTAAGTATTCCAGATACTCCAAAATGTCTTTAAACTTGGGTACAACGTGTTGTCGGGTAACCTTTCCTACAAATAAAAGTATTAGTGAGTGAAATAGAACAAAGGAGGATGATGGTGGTGCAAAGTAGCACTTTAGTTTTTTTTTTTTTTTTTTCCATTCTCCAAAATCACAGCAATCTTTGGATGAACTACATGTTTTGAGGCATTTCCCACAAAATATATTTTTAAAAAGGAAAGTAACTTGTTTGAAACAAAGTTTTGTTTTTTTCTTTGTTTTATTTAAAGAAGTATATATAAACTCAAATAATTCTTCTCATACTGCAGGTTAGAAAACGTGCACGGGAGTTGTTTGACCACTTCAGGAGAGTTTCTTCAATATACACAAAAATCCAAATAATAATCTCAGTGATGATCACAAATGTCACTTCTGTTGTGAACCCATCTCCGAACAGACAAGACAGATAAAACGTACAGCTTGAATGATGCTAAATGGCTTTTTTGGAGGTTGTTTGTAAGCTAGTTATCTACAACCAGCTCTGTGGTGTGAGTGAGAGTACCTAGAGAAGTAATTATGGTCTCGCTCCATTTCTTGGTAGTAAAGTTGTATTAGTGGCCATCTTAGAGTGAAAAAAATGGTTTTGTTCAGAAAGTCTTAATATTTTGTGAGATTAAATAATAAACCGAAATAAAATTGTGGCTTAAATAATTAGGGAAAGAGGAGCAAAGGAGCAGAATGGTCTAGCAAAGGATAGCTGTAATGAAATGAGGCAGTTTCTCATTGGTTTTAGTTCTCAGACCCAATGTTGGTGTTCATCTTTTAGTGTTTAAGTGCTGCTTCATCTCAGCAGTCTCCTAGCTGTGGTTCAAAACATCTCAAAATTCTCAAATGATTTTTTTGTTTTTCCCTTCTTTACATGACTTCATCTCCAGGAACATTTCAGAACTGAAATGTTTTCTCTGATTTTACAAGCTGGAGTTACAAATTACAAATCATTTTTCAATTTGTAAACAAAATAAAAAATAATGAAATTATTTTCTTTTTCTTTATATTGGATATTTTGATGAAGCAATATACCCCTTCAGATCACCTTCCAGGAGATTAAACATTTGGGAGGGTTTGCAGGACCTGTCAATTTTTCCTTAAGGCCATGAAGCTGGGGAACCATACCGATTTCTGAAACTTGTGCATCTCACATGCACAATTTCCATGGCAGCCATCCCAGAAATACCCATGAGCAATGGAAAAACACTCCAAGTAAAAATCATAGGGTGAAGTAATTGAGCTTCCAACATTTCCTCTCCATTTCCATCACTGTCCCATGGCTTAGCTTGCATTATGCAGCAAGTTTATGCTTCTTTGTCCATATGAAAAGAGGCCAGTTTGTTCAGCTCGACAACTGAGCCAGTGACGTTGCTGTGAGGACAGGTCCAAGTGCAAAAACAAAACTAAAAGAACCTCATATTTCATGCTGTGTGAACTTGCAGCTATAAAAAAAAAAATTTCATTGTCGCAAAACGGATGGACAATTGCAAGAAAAAGTGACTGTCATTGTTCGGTACAGGTTAGTACAAACCATGTTCAGTTTACAGCATAGATGCTGAATACTGGCCCAGACAACATCCCGGAGAAAATTCTGAAAGACTGTGCTGATCAGCTCTGTGAGGTGCTGGCCAACATCTTTAACTCCTCCCTCACCCTGGACCTGACTGAAGACGGCCATCCCAGTCCCAAAGAGCTCTACAGTGACTGGTCTAAATGATTATCGGTCAGTAGCCTTCACCCCAATAAGTCACTAAAAGCTTCGAAAGACTGGTCATGACCCATATCAAAACAACCATCAACATCAGCAAAGACCCTCACCAGTATGCATACCGCGAGAATTGATCAATAGGGGACACCATTTCCTTGTGGTCCACACTGCTCTCACCCACCTGGAGAAGAAAGACTCCTACATCCATATGCTCTTTGTGGATTTCACGTCCGCCTTCAATACCATGATCCCTCAGACCCTGGTGGACAAACTACTCACGACTAAGCCCGTCCATTTGCCACTGGGTCCTGGACTTCTTAACAAACAAACCGCAGTCTGTGAAGATCCACAACTTCTCCTTCACCCTAACCCTCAGCACCGGCTCCCCTCAGGGCTGTGTGCTGAGCCCTCTCCTGTTCACTCTGCCCACGTATGACTGTGGACCTACCAATCCAGGCTGTCATATTGTAAAGTTTGCAGACGATGCAGCAGTGGTTGGATGCATCACAAACAACGATGAATCCAGCTACAGGCAGGAGGTGGAACACTTGGAGAGCTGGTGCAGGAAGAACAACCTTCACATCAATGTGAGAAGACGAAGGAGATGGTTGCGGACTTCAGAGGAACAAACACACCTACACGGGTGTATCAGAGATGGACAAGAAGCTGAGTACAGGGAACTGGTGGACCACTTTGTAGCATGGTGTGGAAACAATCATCTCATATTGAATGTGAACAAAACAAAGGAGATGATTGTAGATTTCAGGAGAAATAGGAACAGGCCCAACCCTATTTCCATCATGGGAGAAGAAGTGGAGGTGGTGAAGTATAAATACCTTGGGGTTCACCTGGACAACAGACTGGACTGGAAATGCAACAGTGAAGCCATCTACAAGAAGGGACAGAGCAGACTGTACTTCTTGAGGAAGCTGAAGTCCTTCAACGTTTGCAGCAAGATGCTGCATATCTTCTATAAGTCTGTTGTAGAGAGTGCCATCTCTTCTGCCATCATCTGCTGGGGTAGCAGCACCAGAGCAAGTGACCTTAAAAAGATCAACAAGCTCATAAAGAAGGCTGGCTCAGTTCTTGGGACTCCTCTAGAACCTATGGAGATGATTGTACAAAGAAGGATTCTCCATAAAATGAAGAACATTATAGACAACCCTCAGCATCCTCTTCCATCAGACTGTCATACAACAGCAGTGTCTTCAGTCAGAGGCTTCTTCAGATCCATGGTAGGACAGCCAGCTAAAAGAGATCCTTCCTGCCCACAGCCATCAGCATCTAGAACAACTCTTTAATGAAACCAGGATGATGAGTTATAACATTTAATTTCTCTCTGGGATTAATAAAGTATTTTTGAATTGAATTGAAAATATGCAGTTTATCAGATGAAGTATTTCACCATGCATGGAGACAGTTTGCAGAAGACAGGATGAATTTTTATTTTTATTGAGGTGATATCAGCAGAAAGCAGCTTTTAAAAGTCTCTGAAAAAACATTGGTGGAATCAAACATGCTGCTTTGAGAGTCCTGATCAGTTCTCGCCTGGACAAGGTACTGAAAAGTGTGGAATATATGCAGTTTCCTCTGCAACGTCACTTCTCAAGACACGTAACTATGTCCATCTTTTATATGAAGTCCATGTGATAAACCAACCTGGAGTTCTACAGACTGACTTATAAAGCCTCGTCAAAAACAAGGTTTCGTCTCACCTTCAAATTGGAAACACAACTCACCAGAATAATTTCAGAAAAGGAATAGTTTGTCAACTTGATTGAAAAGACATGACCATCATTTCTGACATGAGATAGAGCATAACCTAAAGAGCCAAAATATAGACAGACTCTAAACAAATGGTCAAATCAGATTTGTTGAGGTGAATTCAGAGCTCAGTGTAGGTGAGCCTTGAACTATTCCGGATGGAATGTCCCCAAACAATGAACAAACCGCTCCAGCCTCAAACAAAACATACTTTTGGATATCCAAGCAGCATTTAGTGGCGTTTCAACCACAATATATTTTTCCAAAATCCAGGGTCGACTGAATACTTCTCTCAGCACCTTCTGTTTCAACATAAATATGTAACACAAAATTCCAGAGGAGAAATCCTTCCCCAAAAAAACAGCTGTGATACAGATATGGTACTTTTGAGGCTACCCTGAACATTTAATGCAAGCTTTGTTGCAGGGACAACCTGGGTAGGCTTTTTTAAATACGTTGAGTATATTCCCCACATTGTATACCTTTCAGTTTCAATCTCAGTATATTCTCTATTACAGTTCCTAAGTTGTAATAGTGGCTACATTTGAATATTGTGTTGGCATAATAACTATTCTTGCTGTACAACAAGAAGTCAACATATTTACAAGACAGTGTTTCCCCTACCATTATACAAGGAGGGCACCCCACCTTGTTAACAGAACCGAGCACCATGCCTATCTAACCCCCCCCCCCCCCCCCCCGACAACTGTAACCGTAGCGCTGAACTAGCGGCACACAATTCAGCCACGTTAGCTAAAAAGCTACAGCGGTAGCACGCCATCTCCCTCACGCTAAGCCATTTCTTTTAACCCCCAGTCGACAACTGTCGGTACAAACGGGACGCAACACAGATGTGTCTCCATCTCCGTCCCCACTCCCGTAGACATAAAATCATGGAAGAGATGAGCACCCTGCCAAGGCAAGTAGCCTAGGGGAAATGCAAGCTACAGAAGACTTACAAATAATATAGACGTTATTGCTTACCAGGCCTGAAATAATGTTCACAGTTCCTGAAAAAGAGTTCTTGGGGATAAATGTTCCGAGTAGCTTTGGTCAAAACTTGCCTTCTTAAGTACAGCTGACTTGGAGAAGTAGCTGTATTTTCAGTTTAGCTTGTTGCGAGTTTGAGGTCACAACCGTCACCATTGATTCCACACTAAGGGTTCATCCACATATAAATATTTTTTTGTGAATACGCAAAAGTGTTCCAGTCATTCGGAAAACACAGTTTAGGAGCCCCGAAACAGTATTTTTGGAAAACGTGTTCCAAGGAAGAGGGGATGTTGAAACATCATCTTTAGTTTTGTGTATACAGCCATAAAGACAACTTTCAGAAAATGATGATGTCATAGCCCAACTTTTAAGACAACCTATGACATGAAGGCGTCCTCTTCTTCTTGTGTTTACATTTTGCACTTGACGTGCAAGCTTTATGCACATGCTTCACAAATGGTTTCCTGTCTAGAATTTTTGGAGGGGATGTTTTCGTGGTAGTGTTACAGACCAACACACACGCTTGGCATAGTTACTAGAACGTTTTGTGTCGTTTCCATTGTATCCATGTAGATTTCTATAAACTGTCACGTTTACAAGGATATTTTTAAAAACATGAAATCAAAAGGTCGTGGGGAAAAAAAAACCTGCATTTTAGTGTGAACAAAAAGCATTGACAAAAAATTAGCCCTGGTGGGTTAAAAATGTCCCGAAAAACCAGGAACCAGAACAACATATTTACCACCAACTCACAAGTAGATCTATTCAAAGATTCACTTAAAGATTAAGTTTACTTACCCTCAGCAGCAAGGACACTCTCTCTCTGCCAGGAATGAAAGCAGAGCATTAGAAATAAAGACTATCAGTGCTGAATAAACAAGATACATGTTCATTTTGACTACAAGCAAAAAATAAAATTAAAATAGTGAGCTGAAACGTGTTTTTTTAAATACAATGTTTTAAATAAAAAAGTAAATAAATCACATTATGCAATACAAATACATGATTTCACCATGACTCACTGGGCCCTGTTATACTCACCTGGCCTAAACTTTAGTGCACATAAGCACATTTTCAGTGTGTACTCACTTCACTTTACACACAAAACCAGTCTTAAGTTGAACCAAATCCAAAAGGTGTACTCACAGGGTCTTGGGCACACTGATGACATGACAGGCTTTCACATACTCACAAACACCTTAAGTAGAATGCCTGCGTTTGTAGCCTTTTTCGTACAAATAAAGTAGTAGTGCTGCAAATATTGTGTCCTTATGAAGTTACTGGTACCTTTGCTCTTTCATACTGACCAGAAACAATGCAGCACCAAGTCAGGGTGTGGTCATATGATATACAGACTGCACAGAATCAAAAAAAATGTCTAGAGTGGCAATGTGTTCATCACTGTTGCTTGGCACAACTAATGTGAACCAAGAAAAGTCCAGTATTAGCTAGTGAATGCATCCTCCTTAAAGAAATGACTTCTTCAGACTTGACTGGAGAAAAATGTTTAAAAAGCATGATCGTCCATGTGGAAAAAAAAAAAAAAAACAAAGGTCAAGTAGGCCAGCCTTACCCAACGATTTTGACAAATCGCCTTCTTGTTGGAGGAAAAACTTACTGTAGTTTATTGTCGGCTGCCGAGCGGTACTATGTTTATTTTTAAATCAGACAAAAATTATTAAAATACAGTGCCTTGCGAAAGTATTCGGCCCCCTTGAACTTTTCCACCTTTTGCCACATTTCAGGCTTCAAACATAAAGATATAAAATTTTTATTTTTTGTGAAGAATCAACAAGTGGGACACAATCGTGAAGTGGAATGAAATTTATTGGATGTGTCGAACTTTTTTAACAAATAAAAAACTGAAAAGTGGGGTGTGCAATATTATTCGGCCCCCTTGCATTAATACTTTGTAGCGCCGCCTTTTGCTGCAGTTCCAGCTGCAAGTCTCTTGGGGTATGTCTCTATCAGTTTTGCACATGGAGAGACTGAAATTCTTGCCCATTCTTTTTTGTAAAACAGCTCGAGCTCAGTGAGGTTGGATGGAGAGCGTTTGTGAACAGCAGTCTTCAGCTCTTTCCACAGATTCTCGATTGGATTCAGGTCTGGACTTTGACTTGGCCATTCCAACACCTGGATACGTTTATTTGTGAACCATTCTATTGTAGATCTGACTTTATGTTTTGGATCATTGTCTTGTTGGAAGATAAATCTCCGTCTCAGTCTCAGCTCTCTTGCAGACTCAAACAGGTTTTCTTCCAGAATGGTCCTGTATTTGGCCCCATCCATCTTCCCATCAATTCTGACCATCTTCCCTGTCCCTGCAGACGAAAAGCAGTCCCAAACCATGATGCTGCCAACACCATGTTTGACAGTGGGGATGGTGTGTTTAGGATTATGAGCTGTGTTGCTTTTACGCCAAACATATTGTTTTGCATTGTGGCCAACCAGTTCAATTTTGGTTTCATCTGACCAGAGCACCTTCTTCCACATGTTTGGTGTGTCTCCCAGGTGCTTGCGACAAACTTTGAACAACACTTTTTATAGAAATCTTTGAGAAATGGCTTTCTTCCTGCCACTCTTCCATAAAGGCCAGATTTGTGCAGTGATTGTTGTCCTATGGACAGACTCTCCCACCTCAGCTGTAGATCTCTGCAGTTCATCCAGAGTGATCATGGGCCTCTTGGCTGCATCTCTGATCAGTCTTCTCCTTGTTCCAGATGAAAGTTTAGAGGGACGGCCGGGTCTTGGTAGATTTGCAGTGGTCTGATACTCCTTCCATTTCAATGATTGCTTGCACAGTGCTCCTTGGGATGTTTAAAGCTTGGGAAATCTTTTTGTATCCAAATCCGGCTTTAAACTTCTCCACAACAGTATCTCGGACCTGCCTGGTGTGTTCCTTGGTCTTCATGATGCTCTCTGCGCTTTGAACAGAACCCTGAGACTATCACAGAGCAGGTGCATTTATACGGAGGCTTGATTACGCACAGGTGGATTCCATTTATCATTATCAGTCATTTGGGACAACATTGGATCATTCATAGATCCTCACTGAACTTCTGGAGTGAGTTTGCTGCACTGAAAGTAAAGGGGCCGAATAATATTGCACGCCCCACTTTTCAGTTTTTTTATTTGTTAAAAACAGTTTGACACATCCAATAAATTTCATTCCACTTCACAATTGTGTCCCACTTGTTGATTCTTCACAAAAAAATTACATTTTATATATTTATGTTTAAAGCCTGAAATGTGGCAAAAGGTTGAAAAGTTTAAGGGGGCCGAATACTTTCGCAAGGCACTGTACCAGCAACGCCACCTAGTTAAACTAGGACAAAGATCAGGTCCGTATCGCAGGGGTGAGCAGTGTTTCACAAACCAGCCAGTAGAAGTTTACAATAATTTATTACAACCAGGAAAACAATTGCTGCAAGCAGTCCAAATATTAAAACCAGCCATGTGGAGCAGTCTGTAAAATCAAAGATTAAAAGGGCGACACGGTTATGGCAGTCTGAGGAAAAAGAAAGTCTTAGCTGGGGGGGTGGTCCTCTCACCGCCTGCACAGCATTCCATCTCAACCTCCAGCAATCACACGGCAGCGCTTGTTCCTCCCAAGTCTGATGTCCCCTGGCGACCTCGATCGCCAGTGATCTTCAACGCTCTGTCCTCTGCCCTCGACACCAGACCCTGACGAATCTGCACCTTCCAGCCATACGCAATCCACTGGAGTTGGCGCCCAGCTCCACGTCCCAGCCGTGCCTCGTCCCAAAGCCTCACTTGTGTGCGTCCTTGCCCCCACTCGCCTCTGCTCTTAATCACCGTGCCTTCAGTTCTGCTGCTCTGCTGACCGGCTTGTCCCCAGCTGTTGCTTCTCAGCTGTGGTTGTGTACCCGATCATTGTCATTGCACTCCATGACCAACACACGTCCCGCCCCTCAGCGGTCTCTGTGCGCGTTCACCGTTCTGGCCATTTCGCCGCTCTTTCACTCTGACGCGCTCTCCTTCTGTTCATTGTCCTCCACTTTTTATTTCCTCCATTGCTGGCTTTCATGCCATTACAGCTGATGGGGAACACCTGCGCGGGCTGTCAAATACCTCTTGCCACGTCACAGGTGGCAGCCTCAAAAAAATCGAACAGAGCAGCCAGTTTAAACATGCAAAATAAAAAACACAAAAAGCCACATTACTACATTATTTATCGAGGAAACCATTCAAGAAATGAAAATCTTTCCCAAGGTGGATGGTATTGCTCAAGCAGGACCTAAATACCATGTAGTCACTGATTTATAATAAGCATGGCTGTGGAAATGGAAAAACACTAGCCCTCGACCTTAAGGCAGCATGGGGGATTGAAGTCAACCCATCATTTTTACACCACTAAGCTGCCAATTGAGGTTTCATTTACCCGTTATTTATACAGGTAGCCTCATTGAGTCACAAGAACTTATTTTCAAGAGAGACCTGTTTTAGGGAGCAGATGGTGGGGGTTAAGGGCCTTGCTCAGGGGCCCAGAGTGGGGCAAATGAGGGTGTGTAACGGTACCAGGAGTTGAACCTATGACTTTCTGATCACAGGTCCATCTTTTAACCTCTGCGCCACCACTCCCTACTGAGGTAGAGCCGAGATGACCAGTATCCATTAGTGTAAGAAAACATTGCGGCTCAAGGTTCTGATGTAGTTATGAGAGTCTCGGCCCAATTGAATGCAGGATTTAGACTGGGTGACTGGAAATGGGTGGAATGCCCCCTCTGGGTAAGGAGGGAGGCTTTACCTCAGGTGAAGGAGTTTAAATATCTGGGCATCTTGCTCATAAGTGATGGTGGGATGGAGCGGGAGATGGAGTGACAAATTTGGGCCTCGTTCTCAGTAATGAGGGCATTGCTTTGTTGGTCAAGGTGAAGAAAGTAGAGTTGAACGGCAAAGCTAAAGATTTCTTGGTCTGTTTACAATCCAACCCTCACCAACGATCATGAGGTTTGGATCATGACCAAAAGAACGACATCCCGGATACAAGTGGTTAAAATGAGCTTCCACTGTAGGGTGGCCAGTCTCTACCTTAGAAATAGGATGAGGAGCTCTGTCATCCAGGGGGAGCTCATAGGAGAGCCACTGCTCTCTTGAACTGAAAGGAGATGGTTGAGGTGGTTTGGGCATCCAGTGTTTCCCCTACTATTGTACAAGCAGGGCGCCCTGCCTACTGAACCGAACTCCCCCACCCCCGTTGCTGACGAGAGGGAAGTCTGTGTTTCTGTCCTGGATCTGTTGCCTCTGCGACCCAACCACAAATAAGTGGTAGGAGATAGAGAATGAGAGACTGGAACACATTTGTGACCATGTCTATGCCACGAATTATACTTTACACTTTGTACGGTTCCGCAATGTCAGCGTAAGGCTTCTCCTTACTCCACAAGAAATGAAGTAGTCTGCTCTTGCTAACCTAGTTATGAGACGCTCTTTTGGACATTCCATACTCCATGAGAAACCACAATCCAGAATTCCTGGAAAGCATCTCATGCTGCAGCAAAAAAACAAAGATGAAGATAAATGGGCGTTTGGCAAGTCGTGAAAAAAAAAAGTCCTCTTTGGCGCCCAATAGCTCTGGTATACTTCAGAATGGAAACATCATTCAAAGTTTAAACGGGTGAAAGAAAGGTGGACTTTACAGGGATTGATTATAAATTATCACAGCTGCATCAGAATCAGTCCCTCATTCACTCAAGTAAACACGCTTTCTGTTGGGAGTTGATGCTTACCTCTTCTTGTGAAACACTCATGTTAGCGATTGCCACGTGATGCTTTACATAAACGTCCAGCCCCTGTAAAGCGGTGTACAGCACCATAATGGGTTTCTTCCGGCTAGGGTCTCCACTCCATCCTTGTATTCGTTGTTTCACCTCTGAAAATGTCATGAAGAGACTGCCATGGTTTCTGACAGACGCATTCCTTTTTGCACAATGATTGCGGTATCACCTTCCATGAGTTTTCGGTCATTTGACTATCTTTATAAGTTTTGTTAGAACAGCTGTAAAGATGGCTGTGTTGATCTTCAAACCTAGCCATCTTGTTAACACAACAGCCAGTTTCTGAAAATGAAGCAGTGGAAGTGAAATGACAGCACTGCCCATCTTTCCACATAAACACGTTCACAACAATGTTCTTACCAGTCACACAATACTTGATGCATAACCTTGAAAAAAAAAAAGTTCTGCCTGGACCTTGCATAATGAAAAAGTTCTCAGAGTTCATGTGAGAACAAAATTAAATTTTTGTCACACAACTACATCAGCAGAGCACATTTTTTCACTTTTTGCGGAGTATAATTTATACTCCCAGTTTTAATTCTGTAAGTGTACATTTTCACAGGACATGGCAGGGTCCATTGGTGATTTATGAATGACCAGAGCTGGTCTAAAGAGGGGCTTGCAGATATATTGTTTATTAGTTGTGTGAAAAGGGAAATGAATAATGTCCTTCCTGCAATACAAGTTTTTGTCTTTAACTCACCTGAGATAATGCAGGAATTCAACTCACCAGTGATCAAGCTGGACACCTGTACCTAAACCAAAGTTTTCTTAAATAATTAGTCCTGGAAGATGGTTGTCAGCCTGGTGATAATAATCAATACTGGTCTAACAAAAATTAGACCAAAAATTATTAGCTTTTCTCCTTTGAAAGATTAACAAAACAGAACTTCCTTGATGACGAATTCCCTCTTCTAGTTCTTCACAAAGATTTTTTTTCTTACCACACTTTTGACTCCTGGATATAGAGTTCCTCTGGGTTTCCAGATATTTTTGACAGCTAGTATTCAAAGTAAAACATTACATACAGGTTCAAAAAGCGTTCAATACAAAAACAACTGGACTTTATTTGTAACAGAAGACGTTTCGCTCCTCATCCGAGGAGCTTTCTCAATTCAAAGAGCAGAGAGTGAGAGATTCAGGTTATAAGGCTGAGTGAGATAAGACACACACACATACACTTTTTGAATTCATGTCCTGGATGACTGAGAATCTTCACCAGCATATCACATACAGGTGCTTCTTTTTTCTTAGATTTATTTTTAAGTCAAACTTGTAGAGACATTAAAAAATGAGCAATGAAAGAACACTTGTCAATTATTAAATCTAGTAATGGATTAGTGCTTGCTGTTCGTTGTTGCCATTTAATGAAACTTCCAAAGAGTGCATAAATATCAACATTAGTAGATTGTGCCATTTACCTTTATATGTGCTGATGTGATCAGGTGTATCTTGTACAGGGAGTTACCTCTCAGGGATTTTTCACAAATCTTGAACAAAACATAAAACGAATCAGTATGCAACAAACTACCGTACTGTAAATACATATACCGGTACATCTTCCTTTTAAGCTCTTGACAATATAGGAATTTATGGGATTCGTTTTTTTGGACCATACTTTCAGCCTAATATAAATAAATCATACTATATATTTAAATGTTTGTTTTACTACAACGCAAACGAATGACTTTTACTGCTTTGTATCCTTTGCTCATTTAAGATATTACGTATACCATAAAACTTTTTACATAACCACTTTAATGCCAAGTAACCACTTGCGGTTAAATAAAGAAAGTTATGTTATATATAAGTATGGTATATATCAAATATATAAAAATATACAAAGTAAAAAAAGAAAAAACATTAAAAAAATAGATTAAAAAGAAAATCTCAAGTTTTAGCACTTCAATCCATAATATCAATGAGAATAGTTTAAATTAATCCAACTTTCCAGCAGAAACTTGGGTGTCGTTTTTGTTTTTATTACTTCTAAAACTGCTGAGTCTGATTAGCTAAATGTTAAATCACTTAGTGTCGTGTTTTTATTATTTATTCACCTTTATTTAACCAGGCAAATCCCATTGAGATCACAGATCTCTCTTGAAAGAGAGGCCTGGGCCTGAAGGCTGCCTAACACGCATGTTTTTATTCTGTGGGAGGAAACCGGAGTACCCAGAGAAAACCCATGGGAACATGCAAACTCCACACAGAAAGACCCCAGCACCAACCGGAGATTGAACACAGGACCTTCTTGCTGTGAGGCAACAGTGCTAACCACTGAGCCGTTGCGCTGCCAAAATGGTGTCTTTAGTGCACGCTGTTTCCTTTAACCAGCTTTTAGTCTACAGCGATAACTTACAATAAATATCGTGCAATGCTAATCAAAAACATAAACTACTGTACATCGAATTCGAGAAAGTCGGTCCAAGGTGCGATGCTAGCTGGAAAAAAAAAAACGTTGCTAGCTGGGAAATTATGCTAAGCTAGGGTTAGCTAACATGTTCACGTTGCTTTCGTTTTAAGCCTCATTCACCGACTTCAGTATAATCGCGTAAACTAATGTTACCCATCTTACCTTGCATTCAATATACTCATCCTCTTCTTCGTATGGTGTTTCGAGATTTTCCACTTGCATCTTTGCGTCGGCGTACTTTTGTCTAAAATAAAGCAGCTACAACAGCGAAGCTAATAGCTAGCAGTAACAAGAGAATGCCGTGTTAGCTTTACACAATTCGTGCAAATCTCAATTAGACGGTCACCGAGTGCACAATGTTTTACCACTAATACAGAATAACTAGCATGAGAGGTTCGAAATGCAGAAATAATAAACTGTAAGCTAGCTGCGTGTTTTTTTACAATCAACTGCGAACAAAAATGGAACGTAGTGATTAAAAATCGACTACTTCCGGTGTGCTTGAGTAGGTCTCCTGGAAAGCTCACATGGGCGGAATTGGTACGACTAACTACGACTACAGTAAAATGATGTACCGATGCTTAAATCGAACGCACCATACAGCAAACGTACACCCTCTGCTGGCGATACTATAAATCGCAACTAATTCTATTACTTTTCACTGTAATGCGTACAAACCAGATAGAAGAGCAGAAATTGGAACATTTTTTTATTTGGTTCTAATAAGCAATTGCTGCTTAATTACAAAAACAAGCTACTTTTTTGTTTAGCTGTGGAAGCTGGGGCACTTTTTGAGATGTGTGAAGCTTTTTGCACAACATTAGAAGAGCAAAAACTATGAAGCAGCACAAGCAAAAAATAAAAAAAGAGCACTGCTTCACACATTGTGCAAGTACACTAAAGGTATAGAGATACACATGGAAATTGCTTTACAACCTTGGTGACAAATACAAATCATAAACACTATCAAAAAGAGGAAGAACGCCACCATATTTACATGCAAACTTTTATATGCAAGTACTCGGGCCAAAAAGTTACACAACCCTTTCACAATAAGTTTATGAAAATTAATCACATTAACATTGTATTCACTGTTTTCTAATAATCCTAATGTATTCGATTTTCTTTATAACGTTGTATAAAACCAGTGATTTCAGCTTGAATGACTGCCTCAATGATCTTCAATATTAACTAAAGCATGTCAACACAATTTTAGGAATTACAGAAGTCTTCCAATAGTGGTTACGATCACACTAAAGGGATGTATACTCTGGTGTATCCTCCTGAGTTACTATATACAGAATATTCCACCAGCCATAGCGTGTTAAAACTGTAAAAGTTAGGGGCCAACACAGTCTCGTGTGTAAAGAACATAGACTCTAACAGTGTTTTACTTTTAAATTAAAAGATGAGCTTGTTCACACAGAGCGCGTTGAAGACACTTCAGTTCAAAAGTCCTCCAGTTTTTCCAGAGACAAGGATGACCAGCTGGAGAACATGGGGTGGGAGTCTTCAGTCATTTGGAAGATTTGTAAAGTCCATCTGAGAGATTATTCAGACGTGAACGCAGCTCTTTCCGGACCTGCGACACCCTCGCCAGTTTGCGCTTGTATTCCTGAAAAAAAAAAAAGAAGAAGTTTCTTCAGGTCAAACCACCAACAGCTTTAATTAGCAAAGTTGTTAATTATAGGAAATAAGTTGGATGACCAAATATATGAAAACTAAATGCCAACCGTTTCATAAAACATATTTTTGTCACAAATACCCTCAAAACAGTATGCACACAAATATTATTGAAGCATGTATACTATCATTGATTTTATGCTGGCAATATTTTCAGCTGTCATTTTTACAATTACTTCTAGGTCTAAAATGTATTGTGAAAGTAATCTGGTTCATTAATAAAATACCTGCTTATTTTTTAACTGTCTTATGTCAAGAAATCTAAATTATGGCGAAACTGCATGTGCAACAAGAAGCCTGTGCACAGACTTATGATTTTAAAAGTACAAGGATAAGTTTTACTCTTAAACAAGAGGTTACTGATGATTGATGTGTAATGTTTATTTCCTGTTAGGTGAGCTGTTCAGGTTGAACTTTACCATCGTCACACATTTCAGAACGATTAAATACCCTCGTCTAATCCTAATCATTCATTACTCAAACTAAATTTGCTTTAAGTTTTCCTCCTATCAGATCTTCTGCTGATCTGAGCTCAGTTTAATTCTTTTCAAGCATTTTACTGTCGAGCGTCGCATTTTAAATCCTGGTAGATTCTCCCCGATTGTGGAACACTACAATGAGCAGTAGCTGCGAGCAAAATAAAAGCACTGACAAAAATCATTTTGACGTTTTATTTTCACTTTTTTTATTCAACACCTTGAAGAGACATCTGAAATACTTTACGTTCTTGGATTCCTGTGGATGAAGATTGCAGCGTTATCACCAAAAGAAGCGCAGGGATGACAAAATCAATCATTTTTTAAAGATGGATCAGCGAGTTTACTCACCATATAAGCAGTGCAGACACTGAACGGAGCGAGAAAACAAGCTAAAGAAATTACGTTCTCGCAGATGTGACAGTTTAGTTTTACATTTTCCAGCTATTTCATGGAACAAGCTATGAAATGTAGAGAAATGAGTGTAAAGCTTGGGAGTTACTCCTAAACTGAATGAGGCAGACAAGATGAGATATTCAACGATGAAAGATTAGTGATACGCACTTCAAGTTTCAGCTCATTCTGCACCAAACCATCCTTCTGGCTCTGCAGGAAGACCGTTAGGGTGCGCGTGAGCTGCCGCCTGTCGTCGATCTCAGCTGCCAAGCGCCCGCTGTAGTCCGCTAAAATCATGCAGGCATCCTCTACCAAGCGGGAGAGCCGCTCGCCCGATTCTCTATCTGAAGCAGAGAAAATGAGAGGAGATGGAGGTGCAAAGCTCAGTGGAGGGCCGTGAACGTCTCCTTCAGCTCTGATATGATGCAAGTGCAGCGTCAGGATTCAGTTTGGTTTCTTTAGTTAAGAAAGAGGCACCCGTGCAGAAATCAAAGACAATAAAAGTTTGTTTCTTCCAACACACTGAAGATGTTTTTCAGCTTAATAACAGTGACCTGTACTGTTGTTAATAAATTATTATAAAAGATAAATGATTACAGTGGATTTGTTTCAGACTTTTATTGTGAAGGATTAAAACAAGTCCTGTGGATTCTGCACCATGGACAGAATCAGCTAAAATACTGAACATTATTTTGCAGTTAGCCCAAGAAAAGTGGCTCATAACCTTCAGATACATAAAATAACAACAAATTTAACTGTTACAGTCAGGTTCAGGTGTACAGCGGGGTTTACTTTATATGGATTAAAACAAGATTAAGATTATTTTCCCCTTAACATGAGACGTTTATCTGTCTCCTCAACTGTGACCCCAATACTCATCCACAAATGGTACAAACCTCATTGATGATCATTTTCTTGGCTTTTTTGACAGTTACTGTAAAGATACATTAAAAAAGTCCACTTGTGTTACCATTCCTTGTCTTCTCATCATGTAGTGACTTACAGAAGCTCTGAGGTGATCGTTTCTACTCCTCTGCTAGGAGACTTGAGATTATGACTCTTAATCTGTTATAAAAACAATTTTCTTTATAACTCAGTGCTACATTAGGTTTGTGGGGGGTAGAGCATTAGACAGAAAAATATTCCGTCCGTAAAGTGCTGAATAAGAATCCGTCAAAGTCCACGTCAAATTAAAAAGCCCCTCTTTGCCACAGAATGGCTCCGATACGCTGCAAGGAAAACCGTGGAAACCTGAGAACTCAACGTGACTACCTGTGATTCTGTGGAGGAGTGACGTGTCCTGCACCTCCGCAGGAAGGGACGAGATGCGCTGACGTAGCACAGAGTCGCTGGAGGCTGCGTTCTCCAGCTCCTGCAGGGCTCGAATCAACTCTGCTGTCTGAGATTAAAAACGGAGAGAAGTCAGGGACGAAAATAGAGAAAGAGGCTATTTTAATACGACTCATAAGCCATAATAATGTCCCCTCTAATGACTAAAATAACACTAGACGACACTTGAGTGGTTAAAATTCAGCTCTATTGACATCTCACATTTATGGCTACATCAATTTTGGGGCAAAATTATGAATAAATCACCTGTGGGGGCTCAGCAGGGGATCTTTGGGAGGTAAAACCATCATCAGGGTGGATCTCCTCATAGGACCTCTTCTTAGATTTCTTTTCTCCATCTAGGGATTAGTAAGAAGAATCACCAAAAGAAACCAAATACAAGTTTTGCTTTTTTAGGTGACGGAGGAGCAACGTTAAAGCTTTGCACAATCCTGCAACAAAGCAGATAAAAAAACAATAATAACTTAATAACTATTTGTCTTTTTAAGAACCTGACTGTGCAATTTTAAGTCTTGTTGTCACTCAGAAAGAGGGATGAGATTTAAAAAAAGCCCCACTTCCAGTTCTGTACATGTTAGCTGGGTTGTAGAAAACTTACACAGGACTTGTGAGAGCTGCTCCAGCAGGTTGTTCTCATAAACAGCTCTCTCCTGCCAGATGGACAAAACCCGACCCAACTGTTTCTTGCAGCTTTCGTCCCCATCTCTGGACAAGACCACACAAAAAACAGATTCTGTTTAAAACTCTTCCTAAAACTTGTCAGGAGTGGCCAGAAGAGAAAAAAAAGAAGATGAAATAATCCATTTCAATGATCTTTCACAAAGTACGTCCAGCCAACAAGGTGCTCTTCACCATTTTCTGGGTCTGTATATTTTAGCGAGTTATAAGTGAATAAACCCTGACCTGTAGACGTGTTTGAATGCATCCACGATTATCGGTGCAAAGTCTTGCGTGAACTCGGGTCCTTTTCTTTTGCTGTTCTGAATGACGTCATTGGCCAAGTACAGGAAGGTCAGTTTGCGCGATACCTGAGCTGTGAAAATTCAAAATGCACAGAAGTGATTTATCAACACAGCTGTCAAACAGCAATTTAATCAGGGAATTAAGTGCAAGCAGCAGATCAACATGTGGTCAAAAAAATGAGTAAATCCACTTTGGCTACATGTCAATCCTACGTTGTTTACCATTTAAAACAAATATCTTATCTCGTGATTTTACTTAGTTTCATCATTTTTGCTTCAGGACAGAAAATACAGTCGAGTCGGTACAAAAAAGTGAAACAATTCTCTCATTTTTTGTTCATTTTTCTACAAAAGAGCAGGATACAAGACTGTTTCCATTTATGGACTAATGATGTGTTTGCTTTTGTTGGATGAAGGTGAGCACAAAGATTGCCAGCTTTATTCCCACTGCTATCTAAACCCAACCCTCCTGACACAATGTCCCAAAATACAACATCCACTTGAGATATCATTAAGTTGTTGATGAGCTCCCCGAGGAGAAATCCTGCTGCCATTATTAGCCACATAAACATTATATTGCCTTCATCCATCCCTCATCTTGAAGAAATATCTAATGCATGATCATTTGGTGGAACAACACCCTTATACTCTTGTCACTCAGTGAAGTTGGAGTCAGCCTCGTCTAGCACTAATCTGCAGTGTTGCTAGATTGGGTGGTTTACTGCCAATTGGGCGGTTTTCATTCTGATTTTGCAGGTAAAAACTGCTTTGGGCGGGTGGAGATAATTTGGGCGGATTTGGAGTCAGATCGGCGGTTTTTGAGTTAACTTATTAAACACATTTTAAACAATCATTTGTCATTATTTCATAGCAAAGCTCCCCTGACCTTTCTCCATCACTGATTGGCTATTGTCATCTGCCAGGGCGTTCACAACAGAGAACTGGTCCAAGTGGCAGTTTTAGTAGACAACTCGTTGAGTGGGCTGACCCGTTGCGGCGGTACGGCCGAGCGGCCGCCATATTGGATGTGGCAGAACTGCTGGTCAACTGATAGAAGGAAATGGACTGAACTTCATAAAGCACCGTTCTACAAAGTGTTTTATGTTAATGCCTGTCATTCACACACACTAATATATTTAGACAACAAACAGGCACCAAAGACAACATTTATAACTTTTAAAGTGATTATTAAAAATGTTTACCCCTTAAATGTTTAAGCACTAAACCAACATGTATTATTTTGAGTGTTTACAACTACTAACGTGTGTAACACTATTACTGTGGTGATAAATATAGAAATAATCATAATGAACATTTAATCTGTGTCTATAATAACCAGATCCTGAAATGTGACATCTTTATTTTCTGAATAAAGAGAACAAACGTTCACATTTAACTGGTCATATTGGTGAACATATAAACACTAATATATCTTTATACGGGGTGGGGGTTTTAAGAGACTATTGGGCTGGAAAACCTCAACTCTATCTGGCAACACTGCATGGAGGTAGCTGGAGTGAGGACAGAGAGAGCTGGAGGAGGATGACTCGCTGTGGAGACCACTGGAGGGAAAAGCCAAAAGAAGTTTGTTTAGCTTCCATACTATGCCCCGTTTCAGACAAGTTTCGTGACAGGATTTAAGGTGGATCTGGTCACCAGTGACCAAAGCAAGAGCTTTGTCTGCATCCTCGGCACAAATCTGCGCTTGTTCCCAGTGCAGGTTGAACTCCACCAGGGCTCTCCCTTGTGTTTGATCCTGTTCCTGGTGTTTATGGACATGATTTGGGAACTTAATGGACTTGTATCTGGAAGTTTCTAACTTAACTCTACACAATGAGGGCTTTGAATTCATCAACTATATTCAAAGACACAATCAATTCACTGAATATCTTTACTGTTTACTTTGTGTAACAAAAACAAACTCAAATCTTACAAATCTACAGCTTCTTTAAAAGAAAACATTTAATTGGGAAATATATGTGCTGCTCCCGCAAAACCTCTCCCCCCCCCCCCCCCCCCCCCACACACACACACACGGCAATTAAAATCTCTCATTCTATTTTAACCTAAGGTAAAAAGTTCAAATTAAAATCCCCAAAACAGTGAAGCCCTGTGATGAATTTTTGCACAAATAACTTGTAATACTTAATACAAATGCCCAGGACATTTATTCGTATTCACCCACTTCTTGGGAAGCTTCTAGTGAATTCATTTCACCTTTAACACAAGCTCACCTTTAATAGTTTAAAAATAATCTGATTTATTTTTCACAATTTAAAAACACAGCAGCTTTAAAAATAATCTACAGACGCTTTCTTTACAAAACTCTAAAGTATGAAATGGGAAATCGGGTGAAAAGTTAGCTTTAGCCGGAGCTAACACGCTCCTGGACTCTTCCAGATGTTTCTGACCTGCAGAACCAGTTCAGCCTTACCTTTCTTCAGTTCGTTGAACCACACAGCGACGATAGTCTTCGAGTGTTTTCTGTGATGGATGAGCCACAGCGACAGGGTTTGCACACTTTGCTGAGAGTTGCTAAGCTCGGATAGTTTCTTCTCTAAAGCCGCCTCGGAGAAAGCGGACATCTCGACGAGCTTTAACCGCTGAGAGTCCACACACTGCGGGACGCAGCTTCGGGTTCGCCCCAGAAATGTCTTCGCCAGTCGGTTAGGGGGACGCAACGACGTCTGCCATTCAAACTAAATGTTAGCTCGCTGCTTCAGAGCCTGGTTTGTTCATGCTAACCAATTTAGCATCGTCCCTCCTGGTGGTGCGCTCAAGTTTCTGGCTCGGCTGCGGAAAGCAGCTCAGCACATGGTTCCGCTTTCCGTTTAAATGTTGCGTTCAGGTTTTTAGTAAAGCCGTCTAGTTTTCAATATTTCACTATGTATTGTGCACTATTTCATTAATTATTAATAAACATTATGCATTTTAGAGTACGTATTGGGCCGCAATTCTCTAAAATGCATAATTATAGGTTAATCTCCAAAATTGTGTAACTGGGATTGTGTACAACTTCGTTCCACCTCACGTACCACGTGATGCGAATGACAATAAAACCTACTTGAACTTGATTTCAGGCTCACATGGTGAAATATTTTAATATTTTTATGTTTTCATAGAAATCAAAGCAGAAAGACAAGAGTTCAACAGTGTTTTTGTTTATTGTATTTGTCACATTTAATACTTGGTGGAGGTGACAATTTTGTAATTCTTTCTTTAAAAAAAATGTGTTAAATTTTAACATCTTTGGCCATTAACTGGATGTTTAAGTTACATATTTTAAGAAATAACTAAACACTCAAAGCAAAAAGCAATAAAAAAAAAATCAAATTGCATAAAACAACTGCATCAACGACCAAAAACAAATTTGCAGCTGCACAAAATCAGAATAAAGCATGACTGAACAATTATGACTAATGCAAAAAGTTGCACCAAGACAACACTGATATTAATTCAAATTAACCCCTTTTTTCCCCAAACGTGTAGTATGCAATAAACTTCACAGTAAAATCGTATTTGCAGATATAAGGCGAAGCTTGCAGATGAATGCAGTCACATGCAAAGAGGTACAACCTGATCATAAAGTGAAAGCAGTAAGTGTTTAGGAACTAAACTTTCCCTGAGATTCATTTGATTATGAGCAATCTGATTTGTTTACCTAAATGCAAACAAAATTCAGTCATACAAAGATAAACGAGTTTTCAGCATGCATCTATGAGTGTTTGGTAGAATTCAAATAGCTTTTCCCCGTTGTTCAGTCTTACAAAACATTAAATAACTTGTTTTATTTTTAATAAATGGTTTTATTCTTGCATAGCTAAATTGTGTAGTAATTGCACTTTCACCTCTACTACCTACTTGCTCAGGCACCTTTAGGATAATCCTTCACAGTCTGGCCTTCAGTCAATTAAATGGTTTCCAACTTTGGAGTTAGTCAAATAAAAAACAATTACTTTATATAAAACATTTTTGGTCCTAAAAATGTCACTATAGCCAGAACCCTTTCTATGTGTTCTATCTGCACGATGGGAGTCCAATTCACAGCAATTGTTTAGATTAATTTGCATTTAACGTTAAATTTTTAAATGAAGGAGAAAAAGCTTGATCAGTTGGGACCCCAAGTTCTGAAATAAACATCAGAACTGGCACCGTAATAAACCGCTTGTCCAGGTTGAATGAAAGCATTTGGCTGCATCCAAGCCCCCCAAACATCCCCACTACTGGCTGGATATGTCCCATACGAGCCAGGGTTAGTACTGGGTCCAGTATTCTGGCTGTTCACCCTTAGGTCTACATAGCCGGCCTGTCCGGCAGCAGACTGTGCCACATAACTCTGTGGGTGCATGTAGTAACCGTTAAAGCTGAGCCCCGAGGGAGTTTGTCTCGGTTCAGATTCATGAGACCTTACTCCATGCTGTGAGGAAACGCTGCGGCTGTGCACCGACTGCGTTTCTACGTTTGTCCTGGCAGCTTCTATAATAGAAGCTACATCACCAGGCAGGTCTCGATGGGCCCACATGCTGCCAGAACCAGAGTCGTTCCACACCCTCTGTTGATTCTGATGGTGATAATGTTGAACAGCAGGGGGGGTTGTGTTGTCATCGCTCTGTCTTGACCCGTCCACTCTCGTTTGAACTGATGCTGAACTGTGCCACCCGTCGGAGCCGCCTTCTTCCCGTCTGTAGTAAGAGTTATAAGGACACTGGGCCTCATCGTGGGACACGGCAGGAAACAGTCCCTCGCCCTTTGCCTGGACGCCTTCATTTTGCCAGTCTCTGAATAGGCTCTGAGCACCATGGTGTCTTCCATACGTTCTTCCTGTGTGTTCTTCTTTGGTCTCAGTTTCTTTTGCAGACTGGGTAAAGTGGACACCGTCAGCGTCTTGAAACACGGTGACCCTGATGCCCGTCCCTGGTATGAATTCATCAAAATCTACATCTCCTTCGCAGAGATCTTGCTCTAGTTGAGAGGTCTGCAAGTTCGAGGACACTTCGGCGTTGGCATTTTCAAAAACTGCAGAGTCACTTTTTAACTCTCTGTCCCCTGGTGATAAAATCTGCTCCAGGTCAGACACAGGTGATGTCAGCTCGAAGAGATTGTCTTGATTGAAGGAGGTCCTCTTCAGCAGCATTGCACCTTTGTGAAAAGGTAAGCTCACATTGAACTTGGTATTGGTCTTTTTCTTCTTCTTCTTCTTCTGTGGTTTCTCTCCTTTTGCTTGATTTGACATCACTACAGTGTTCTTCATGGGCTTGGTGACACCTTTAAAACAAATATAAGACATGGGATCAAACTATATATAATATATATATTAAAAACAGAATAAACTGCAGAAAAACACACCTTTGATAGCTTCCCTTTTTTTCTGGACATTTGTATTTACCCATCCATTCGACAGCATGCTTAAACCTTAAAAAATAACAGGAACAATACAAGGGATATACAGAGAAATATGCACACAAAGTACTTTAACTATCAGATTACTTAACACAGTGAAAAGGTTGTATTTAAGAAACATCAAACAGAACGGTGATAACTTATTAATAAAAGTCCAGAAAATATGTCAAAGGGATTAAATGCACACGTGTAACAAACAATTAGATTGAACAATTTTCAAAATAATAGTGACAACAGCAGTAGGAGTTTCAGAAATAGAGTTATACTTACAAGTCACACCTCAAAAGCAGAGTTTGGAGCGAAAGAGGCAGAAGGTTTATGGCCAAGTGAAAAGAAATGTTTAAAAATAATCTGTACTTACACCAGTGGTAACTTTTGCCAGTGATCTGCCTACAGAAGGACTCTGGTACATTTATTATCTGGGAACACGAGATATTTGAGACAAGTGCATAAAGACGAACGTCATGCATGACACACGGAGTGACGCTTTATGGCGGACCTGGGAAAAACTTCACAAAACATTCAGTTTGCATACAAATCCTAATCATGTTCCACAGTTTGTCTGGGTAACATTTTTAACTGTTCCTGGCTCGTCGAAGTGAAATTCTGTGAACTGGATATAAACTCGCTCCCATCTTCTACTGTTTATCTGTGATTGGGTTATAGAGGTAACAGGTCCAGGAGAGAAACCTCAACCTCCCTTTCCCCAGCGACACTTGAGAGGCATCCTGATCAGATACCTGAACTACCTCAACTGTCTCCTTTCGATGTGGAGGAGCAGCGGCTCTACTCCGAGCTCCTCGCCCTCTCCTTAAGGTTGAGCCCGGCCACTTTACAAAGGAAGCTTATTTCGGCTGCTCATTCGTGGGATCTCATTCGATGTTAACAAGATGTAGGAATTCTCAGAGAGCAGTGGTTTTCTTGTTGCACCTTTGCCATTTACACCTTTGTTGAACAACGTTCTTAAAAACGGCACCATCACGAAGCAGAGGAGCTCCTTCAGTGGTAGACTGCTGTCCCAGCCCTGCTCCATCAGGAAGTCCTTTGTCCCTCAAATCAACATTTGACTCCATACAGTAATAGAGAATGTAAATCTGTGGTACCCCAGACACTCATGTATGTATATATACATGTACATATGTCAATACATACATGTATGTATGTATGCTTAGATGTGCATGTATTGTATGTTAATATTGAATGTAGTACTCCCTACCTACCACCTTGCATATGTGCATTTTGTCTTTTTCCAAATTTGTGTATTCTGCTTCTTTATCGATTCTTTCATGTGTCTTTTGTATAATTAGAACATGATACTGGATGCCTTGAATGTCCCCCTGAGATTAAGTATGTATCTATCTAAAACTGTCAGCTCTCCTGGACTGCTCTGTCTCTGAAGTCCCTCTGAAAAGGACAACACCGGTGTGGAGTTTCATCTATCTGCTCACAGTTTACCTGCAGACTTGTGGAATTTAAAATTTAGGTACGATTTAAAAACGGTTTTCATACTGATGCGATTCAACAGCTGTTTGAGACCCTCAACTTTTTTTTAAGCCATGATGCACTCACACAGCCTACATTAACATACAGTAATCCAACACGGACACAGATGTATTGTGAAAATCAGACTGTGGCAGATTTTTGTTTTTCAAATCGAGGTGACACCAACATGCACCGTCTGGCCAAAAAAAAAAAGTCACCACCAAAAAAAAAAAATATCTAACACTAATATTTTGTTGGACCGCCTTTACCTTTGATTACATCATGCATTCACTGTGACATCGTTTCAAGAAGCTTCTGCAACGTCACAAGATCTGTTTCCATCCAGTGTTGCATTCATTTTTCACCAAGATTTTGCATTGATGACTAGACACTAGGCATGATGGGTGCATCACTTCACCTGCCTCTCTTCTTACCCTGATGCTCCCATCACTCTGGAACAGGGTCAATCTGGACTCAGACCACATGACATTCTTCCATTGCTCTAGAGTCCAATCTTTATGCTCCTGAGCAAACTGAAGTCTTTTTTTCCAGTTAGCCTCACTGATTAGTGGTTTTCTTAAGGCTACACAGCTGTTCAGTCCCAATCCCCTGAGTTCCCTTCACATTGTGTGTGTGGAAATGCTCTTACTTTCACTACTAAACACAGCCCTGAGTGCTGCTGTTGTTTTTCTTCGATTTGACTTCATCAAACGTTTAAGTGATCGCTGATCACGAATCCACGATCAGTCAGGATTGTTTTCCGGCCACATTTCTTCCTCGAAGACGATGGGTCCCCACTATCCTTCCAGTTTTTAATAATGCGTTGGACAGTTCTTAACCCAACTGTAGTAGTTTCTGCAATCTCCTTAGATGTTTTCTCTGCTTGATGCCAATTATTTGACCCTTCTCAAACAGACTGACATCTTTTCCACGACCACGCCATGCGTCTGTCGACATGGTTGTTTAAGAAATGAGAAGCAGCTCATTGCACCAGTTGGGGTTCAATAACTTGTTGCGCTGAAAGATAATCGCTCATGCAGTAATTATCCAATAGGAGGCTCGTAGCTATTTGCTTAATTAAATCCAGTGGCAACTTTTTTTTGGCCAGGCAGTGTATTTAGTTAATTAAAAAAACTCAAACTAAATCCTTAAACTCTTGACTTTACAAACCTTTATCACTGTTTAAATGCCAGACTATTATACCAGTACTCAGTAAATGATAATTTTGATTAATAATATTAATCCACTCAGAAGCTCGTTAAATACAGATCAATTTCTAAAGGACTAACAAACCTTTAAGCCTCAAATGTAACGATGCAATAATCAGTGCTGCAAAGAAAATCTAATACCGTCGGCTCTCCTCTGCCTTCCTGTTGCTCCACTCGGTCAGCCAGTGATTGGAGAAGCTGGAAGTTGGCTTCGGTATCTTCATTCAAAATGCTGACCAGACCGGGTTGATTTTCTATCTACAAGAAGTCAGCATCAACCTGAAGTTACACTTACGATTGTATTAATTGCACGGAAGACATAACTGTGTTTGTGTCCAAAACTCTCTTACCATGTAGTTGGACAGGTGGGAATAGCTGGTCAGGTGATCAAATATGTCGTTTTTGTTGGATTTGATGCGGCAGCAGTGGCACAAGAAACCGTACGAGCTGCCATTTTCACTTCTCAACTCAGCTACACAAACAAGACCTGCAGCAAACGTGTCAATTAGCTTTTGCTTCTGCTGTACTTTGACTAATTGGGATAATAATTAGCCAATAATAAGAGTTAGATGTGACAATCAACACCCCTTACAGGAAAATACTTTAATATATATATATATATATATATATATATATATATATATATATAACATCTAACAATTTTAGAAGAAATAAGGCAAAAAGGAGAGATGTTCTACTTCTTGGGAGAAAAAAAATTGACAAAAAACTCTTACTCACTTTAATCTATACTCACCAACAAGAGATGTGCCTCCTGAGAAGTCTCCAAAAAAGTTGTTGTTCTCGGACAACACAGAGGGCTCAGGAAATGCCGGCGTATTCTCCAGCGTTGATGTGCTTTTTAAGCGGACCTTCGATTCAGGAGTTTGACGCGCAGGAATCAAAGGCGGAAACTCCGTTTGTGGGAAAATCTCGTACGGTTTCACATCGGCGCTGTCCGACACCTCGGACGCTCCTCGCCGATTGTGCGCACGCAGAACAATCCTCTCCGACTCGAAGGGATAGTGCAAGGACGTCGCATCTGAAAAGCTTCTCGATGGACTCTGCTCGTCGCGTAAGGCGTTTATCAGAGCTGCTGCTGTGGTGTTAAAGAGAAGGAAGTCCATTCACGCAGAAACAAAGCGCACACAAACACATGGGGCGGCAGAAAATAAAAACTGGAAACAAGACAGCAAAGGTTGAGACGGCCAGTTTCCAACAATAGTCACCAACCGTTATCTTCACTCTCTGTAGCGATCTTCTGATAAACAGCATCAGGAACTTCTATTAGCTTTGTATGAAAGACGCAGAAAGACATGAGCACACTCGCACCATTTTTCTGTATCCAGCTACAAAGAGGCTTATAGTGAAAATAACAAACCTGGACATCGCCTGGTCCCTCTTTCCCCTCCAGCATCTTCGCCAACTCCATCAGTGGCCAAGCCAGCTTGGACAGGTCCAGCTCCTGCCATTTAGATGATAAATGGGGGTGACGGGTTTTCTGACAAAACAAACGTTTCCTGTTAAACCACAATCCGCAGCACTACCAGGTCTCCAAGGACTTTTCTTCAGTGCTGCTTACGATATAGTTGAACCGGTGGTGACTTCCCAGTATGTGGTTCCGGATATCAGCTTTAGTGAGTCGACAAACACACACTTCACACACGTACGACGTTTCTCTGTCCGCTGAACCCACGTTCACACACTCAGTGATGCTGCTCAGACCTAAAGGCACACAAAACAAGAAAAATGGTTGACAAAACAAGAGAGTTATGGCTGACTGCCCGAACACAAAACAAGGATTTGGTGCAACAAACCAATGATGGGTTGTAATCTGCTCTTGTTGTTCAGATAAGTCTTCAGAGAGTCGAACAGCTGGCTTCTGCCTGAAAGCTCTGCACAAAGAAAATACATCTAATAAATGTTTATTTCCTAGGATGTAGATGGTGAAATATGCCTTTTATCTCCTCACCTGGCTGCATCCTGTTAATGAGGAAAAAAACTCCTGTACAAAGAAATCAGAAGAAACAATTAAATGTTCAATGAAAAAGACTAAAATAAAAGACTCCAAACTAAACTTGAATATAACTATCATAAATAAATGAAAAAAATAAAAGAAAATGGAGAGAAATATGCTAAATATTTGATACATACGCATATAAAAAGAGGACTTTCTGATATTTTAAGTAATTTATGGTCATTGTAATTAAAACAACCAGACTCACAACCCTTTGTAATGAATATTTTGTTACAGCGGCTATTTTTGTACCATTGTTATAAAGTCTTTTACACACACAGATTATGATCTTGCGTTTCTCTTTTGGAAATAAAATAAATGTCAAAGTTGAAAGATAGTCAAAGCCTTCCATCACAGTTGGTTATGGGAGGAAATGAATAAATAAAACCTCTTCTTGGTTTGAGCCTTTTTTCACAAACAGAAAAACAAACAAGATCGAACTAAAGGTAAAGAAACATCATGGTCTATCAGTGTTTGGAGGAAGATTTTTCCTAAAACTGTTTGAAATAAATCATTAAATAGAAACAGCCCTCAAACAAATATAGGCATTGCTAAAGTTGTTTTGATCAGAATGTTTCTGTGAAATCGCTTTTTATTGTTTAATCAAAAAATGCTTATTTTTATTAGTTTATGACATGTTTGAATAGTTACTAGATCGAAATACTTTCAGCCATGGGAGGAAATTACAAACATTACAGTAATATTAAAGAACTTAGAAATATTTCATCTCAAATGCCTGTAATGTGTCGATTCACACTCCGACCACCAGGTGGCGCAGCAGCACCAAACTACAACAAAAAGAGACGGAAAGTCTTAAAAACTAATATTTATATAATCAAATTCCAAAGCCATGTTTCAATATCAGATATTTTATTATCTATTATTTTGTTATCAATATAATTTCTAGTTTAAGGTAGTAGTTGTGTCTTTTTGCAGTTTCTGCGTCACAAAACCTGACGAAAGAATTAACATTGAACTGTGCGGTGAATGTGGACAAACTGAATAATTATCACGGCTTCTTTTCTATTAATCTTCGGTTGAGAATTAGCATTAACTAGCGATAAATGAGTTATATGTTCCTTCAACCTCAGAACTCACAGACCTCACCTCGCTAAGCTGCACTTTATTCTCTGGAAGTTTCAAAGATGGTCGTAAAAAGATGAGTTAACTATAAAGCCAGTCTTTTTAACCGTCGGTCGTTTTCATGTTTAGTGTCTGCTCTGAAAACGTAACTTGAAGGCAGTAAACTCTGCTAACCACAGCGAGGCTTGACGTTAAACTCATCAGCTGAAGTAACTCCACAACAGAGCTTTGTTAAAAAGTAGCAGGCTAAAAGTACTTACTTCCGCTTGTAGTTCGACTGTTATCGTTAGCAACTTGATCTCTTCGCTGCTACGTCGAAACTTCCTGAAGTTCCTGTAAAAAACAGTTTGGCAACACGTTGATACGGGAGCGGCGCCATAAGTCTCAGTCATGTGAACAAGCCAGGCAGCATGCGCGTTTTTTGTTGCGCAACTACCCCCGACATTACGGTACCGGGTTTTAAGGGATGCTTTTCAAAATAAAAGTTTTGTTTTTTTTACATCCGGTTTTCTAAATAAAAATAAAATGTGAACGTGTCATTGCATGGTGCTCGGTCTATGTGTTAAGGTGATGATCAGCTACTACCACACCATATGTTTGCTTAATATTTGTAAAACTGGCTGAATTATAGTCATTTTTGTGTTCCCTTAGATCAGGGGTCTGCAACCTTTCTGATCAAAAGAGCCATTTCTGCCCCTTTGTTCACTAAATTAAACGTGTCCGGAGCCACAAAGCCTGTGACAACTGCAGATTCTCAACTGGTGGCCCGCGGACCACTTTAACCTAAGACCCGAACTCTTGCACAACATGCATTATTAATTCCTATAATGTCCACATGTGGATGCCAGGTCATAGGAGGCTAAGTTTGTTGGGGGACACTTTTCTGGCCAGTAAGGTAGTTGGGTAGGGTAGTTTTCTGGCCATTGTATGGTTTTTAACATTTATTTATATTCTTACATTTTAAGACAAAATAAAAAAAACAAGATTTTTGTAAAGAAGGAAAAATATGTTCTTTCCCAATTTAACCTCCTGAGACCCAAGCTCTGGTTTGTGATGCATTTTTCATATCTCCTAGATATTTGTGATTAGATGGACCGGATTTGTGTATAAATAAAGCTTCCTGTTCGAACAGGAAGTTGTATTTTGTTACATGGTTATGACATACTTTGGTAAAAATAAAAAAAAGTCCTCAGATGGGGACAATGGGCTTATTTTACAGCATAACACAACATTAATATGGCTTTACAAAGGGTAAAACACTAATGAACAGAGTGAAGTATAAGGTACAGCAAAGTCAAAATGTAATGTCCCCATATGTTGACGCAGGGTCTCGGGAGGTTAAAATAAAAAATATATATAACAATGAACTATGCAGGTATAGGTAAAAAAATAAAAATAATTGTGGAAAAATTAAGTATCGTACTTCGAATAAATAAAGTTAAAGTATGTTTTACTCCTATTGGTTCTAGTATTCAAATATTTGCAAAGGAAATGACAGAAAAACTGCTAAAACTAGCCCTTTTTGTTGTTCTAACAACCAATAAAATTCAGTTTTATGTCAGTTTTGGTCAAAGCTTGAAAGAGCCGCTGCAGAGGGATCAAAGAGCCGTATGTGGCTCCAGAGCCGCAGGTTGCAGACCCCTGCTTTAGATAAATTGGCTGGGATGGCCATCTTGAATAGGACTGTCTCCATAATTAATCAAATATGTACTCTTAATTATTACTATATATGAATTTTTTTTAAACATCTGTCCATTGGTTCCTGAGATATTTTCCTAATGCTGTCACAAACACATAGACACAAGCACACTGGCAGGTGATATCAAGGATTCTTTGAGTTTTAAGGTCTACCTGGAAAAAAGCTGGCCATGATAAGGTCAAAAGTTGCTCATGTTAAACATCTAACACATCACACTGATAGAAACTGAAGTCTTGAAGTAAATTAACCATTAAAGTGTTCAAGCTGATTCTGGTACACAGGGTAATCACCTGGTTAGGGTTTGGCTTGTGAAGCACAGATGTGTCAGCTTCACACAAACAGCTGCAGGAGATAAAGGTAATGGGTCTTTTGGATGTTGTTTTTTTATTGTGAGAGATAAAAACAATATGCAGAGTTGGCATCTTTTTCCCAATTTGACAAAATATGTAAGTTTTGCTGTGGCATAAGTAATGATTTAATGTTTGTTTTTTGTGCATAGGTTTGGTTATATCATATATTCTATAATAAGGAGTATACTCACTTTAACTTCATGCTTTATAATGTAGCTGTTTTTGTTCCGTTTTTATATAATTTCTTCTATTTACTTTTCATTTTTCATGATTGTCTATTATCTGTACCTCATCTGTGTTGTTTGTTAAAACAGGTCTCTCTTGTAAATGAGTCCCCGAGGCTCAATGAGACAAACCTGTATAAATAAAGGTTGAATGAATATATTGATTGCATACTTCCTGTTCTTGGACCTGCTCTCTTTTGACATCCTCCTATGGAAAAGTGTTTTTTTTTTTTTTTTATCCAACCTGAAAGTAAACAAACAAGCATATCTGAGTTATTTTTTCCACCCCATTGCAACTTCATTCAACCTTTTCAGGTTAGTCCCATCATGTCCCAAATGCTGGCTCCTGTGTTGCTCAGATTTTTAAAGGTGGAAATCGCCTAAGGAGAAAGTTGGAACTGATTCGCAGGCTCAGTTTGTTTTGTTTTGAGGAATGTGGGCCAATTGACACCAGCATCAAGTTTCACTTTAGGCTACAGAAAAAAAGCAAAGTGTAGTGCCAAAAAAATGTACTAGAATGTGGTTGTTTTTACTAGAACTGCAAGTTAAAACCTCAGTTAGTGTTTTGTCTGTTTGCATGTTTTTGTGTTTTATACTGTGACAGTGAGTTTCTCAGGGGTGTGGGAGTGAAGGTTGGTGAGGCTCAAGGCTGCAGCAAATACCTCGTGTGGGGGAGGTCAGTCCTCCGCTCTACTTTGACGTGAGTTGTTTCAGACTAGATCCCCTCCGTTATTTTCTAACTTGTTATAGTCTCATCTCAGGAACAGAAACAAAATGGAGGTGGGGGGATAATATTGCATCTCTGGCCTAAATATAAAATATTAAACATGCAACACTGGCCTGTTTTAATAACAGTCGTTAATGTACGACCACCATCTTCATTTTTATTAAATAACAAGGAAAAAGACTACATTTAAATGTAAACTCTATAAAAGCCATCTGCATTAACCAAACAATACATCTTTACAAGATGCATATAAACTGAGCTGTTTTCTTCTTCCCACCCCCATAAATACCAGGGTCTGACAGGTGCTTAAGACTAACAAACATTATTACAACTGAACAGACGTCCCCCCACTTTACTGACCTTTAACCCTCTATGACATCATGTTGCCTCCAGGCCACATGGAAAAATGTCTTATCTTCTTGAGTTACTGGAAGTACTTCTTCTAATGGACTTTACTTCTATATCATCTTTCTAGGCACCTTACATTACAACCTGTGCCCTCATTTACCCATCCACACAGCACTCTGCTAGATCTGTACAAACACTAAGCAGAGCTTTATCACATTCATACACCGATGGGACACACATTGGAGGCAATGAGGGGTTCAGTGTCTTGCACAGGGACACTTCAGCATGTGACTACTGGTGGAATCGAACCCCCAACTCTTGCATTGGAGGACGACTGCTCTAAACCACTTAGCCACAGCCGCCACAAAAACAAAACTTTCTAACAAAAGTTGTTACTGAGCAAACTTGTTTTCTTTTCTCAGGACTAACGAGACGTACACGTCAGGATGAGGAAAACAGAAGAACTGCAAAGTCTCTCAACTCTCAGAAGTGTTTTGGAGAACTCTGAAATATTATGGCTCCCCTCTGAAGTAAACTGATTCCAGCTCAAACACACACAGTTGTCTCCTAAAGAGAGATTTCTGGAAAACAAAACAGAGTATGTATGTTAAAACACATATTTCACATGATTTCATTATAATGATCGCAAACAATAAAGACTGCTCATGTTCACACCTGTCATATTCAACTTCATTAAATATTTTGTTTTTCTTTAAAAGCATAAAAGAGTAAACATTAGTCAGATTGTAGCTGACTCTTGAGTTTAAGGACAGTGAATGTGTGAAAACACCCAATGTTATTCAAGTCAAAAGTAACTTTAAAGAAAACGGTTCATGGTGAGTCTGGTGGACAGCCCAAGGGTCAGAGGTCAGTCAGGGGAGCTCATCTTCATGCTACACTAATAAAATGTTAAAAAGTAGCTACATGAGCCACCGCGCTACATTTTCTTATCTCTTTCAGCACATTCCCACACAGTCTCTACAGAAAAGTGCTTTTTCATTCACTATCACCCAGATGAATAAACAAGTCTGCAATAAACATGTTAGTAAACAAGTATTTTAGCAATGTTTACATGACACGTCATCAACTATGTTATGGGGGAAAAAAAAACCTGCAACATTGTACCATAATAAAATATCACAAGGCCATCGAGACGCAAGGTTGGAATACAATCAGAATTTTTTTTTTAAATAGCATAGTTTATTTTGTGTGCCTAAAAGTCAGAGAATCTTGTGTCAAAAGTTATGGCTGTTTTTATTACCTGAGAATCTTATCTCTGCCCATGAACCATAGTTTGGGTTAACAGAGGAGCTGGGTGAGGCTGTAGCCAAGGTCACCATGCGCTCTGTGAACTTGGCTGAACTGATCAGGTTATAAAAGCGAGTGGAGGGAGCAGCCCCATGCAGATTCTCATGACTGGTCTTCATGTGTACATGTGCCGTCATAAAATTAGAATATGATGAAAAAGTTGATTTATTTCAGTAATTCCATTAAAAAAGTGAAACGTGTTTATTATTTTCATTCATTACACACAGACTGATATATTTCAAATATTTATTTATTTTAATGTTGATGATTATGACTGACAACTAATGAAAACTCCAATTCAGTATCTCAGAAAATTAGAATATTACTTAAGACCAATAAACAAAGGATTTTTAGAAATGTTGGCCAACTGAAAAGTATGAACATGAAAAGTATGAACATGTACAGCATCAATACTTAGTTGTTGCTCCTTTTGCCTGGATTACTGCAGCAATGCAGCGTGGCGTTGATCAGTCTGTGGCACTGCTCAGGTGTTATGAGCCCAGGTTGCTCTGACAGTGGCCTCCAGCTCTTCTGAATTGTTGAGTCTTGTGTATCACATCGTCCTCTTCACAATACTCCATAGATTTTCTATGGGGTTAAGGTCAAACGAGTTTGCTGGCCAATAAAGAACATGTCCTTAAACCAGGTACTGGTAGCTTTGGCACTGTGTGCAGGTACCAAGTCCTGTTGGAAAATGAAATCTGCATCTCCATAAAGTTGGTCAGCATCAGGAAGCATGAAGTGCTCTAAAACTTCCTGGTAGACGGCTGCATTGACCCTGGACCTCAGAA